TCTGGCACAAAGCTCCTTCCCAACCCTTGAGATTTCCTAAGTGATGAGGATAAAAGTGAAATGGGTGTGTGTTGATAGCCACTATAACCCCTTTCAACCACACCTGAGTTTATGTTAATGTGACTTTTGGAAAGCACCTAAGGACAGAGCTGGGGATGGAGATGATCTCTGTGGCCAGTGACTTACTTAGTCAGTCATGCCAGCATAAGGCAGCCTTGGTAAAAACCCAGAAGTGCCTGGCACAGAGAGGTCGGGGTCAGTGACCACACAGTTGCCGGGAGGGTGGCACACAGAGCCTATTCTCGCATGCTGTGCCTTGCACATCTCTCCACCTGCTGTTCCTGAGTGTCCTTTGTAATAAACTGGGAATCTAGTAAGTGAAGCGCTTCCCTGAGTTCCGTGAGCCACTTGAGCAAACTAATTTTGAACCCAAGGAGCAGGTCCTGGGAGCCTCTGGTGTGTCAGAAGCACAGGGGACTATCCAGCTGGGACTGGGTGTCTGAAGGTGGAGGCAGTCGTGGGGGATGGAGCCCTACGCTGTGGGCTGGGACCGTGTCTCCAGGTAGAGCATGTCAGGGTTGAGCTGAATTTGTAGGCCACTTAGTCAGTGTCTGCTGAGAGCTGGGGACCTGCTTGGTGGTGCTGGACCCACACGTCCAGGCGTAGTTGCAGAGCAGGCTCTGGGGCCAGCGTGTGGGAATGGGAGTCTTGCAGTTTGAGTGCCTCTTTATTTTTGTGGCTGTTCACCTGTTGATTGTCAGGTCACCGGGGCAGAGTGTGAACCCTCAGGCAGAGAGCAAGCCATCTGAGCCCCCCTGCAGTCTTGGGGCGCTGGCACGTCAGTGCTGCATAGCTGGGGCTTCCAGGCCGAATCTGGGCCCCTGGTGGGCCTTCTGAGTGTGGCCGTGGAAAGATTTTTGAGCAGTCTGGGGGAAGGCCTTCGCGTGTGGCTCATCGTGGGTGGACAGCCGCCCTTTGTGTTCTGCGGATAGCACTGCTGTCCCCCGCCTGTTCCCCTGTGGTGGGAGGGGGAGGCACCCAGTGTGGGGTGCAGGCCATGGTGGGCACCCTGTCCGCAGGTTTGAGCCCATCTCCACCATCGTCAGGTGGGTGACCTTTGAGCTTGTTGCCCCTGATGGAAAGTGGGGCAGATGTGCCCCACTCTGGGGCATTGACTGGGGGTGCAGGGAGCAGCATGGTAGGCCGTGCGGGGCATTTGTTCTCTTTCATCTTCCTGTCCTTTTGTCTCCCCCTCACCTTGTCTTCCTCTTTTCCCGCCCTCTTTATGGCTCTGCCTTCCCTTTTGTTCCTAAAGTATGCACACTGCAGACACACACCTGTGCGTGCACATACGCCACACACAGAGACATATGCACATATGTGTACACACACTGTCTAGTCCCCTGAAGTGCACACATCCCTCTTTAAAGTTCCTTTCTTAAAAATGTGAGTGTTTAAAAATGTACAGGAAAGTACAGAGTGCCGAGTGGGCACCGTTTGTCGGAGTCCACGTGAACCTTTTTCACGATGCCCATGGGCACCTCCCCCGCACTCCCTCCTGGCCGTGGACCCCAGCGCTTCCCTCGCACTTGAGCAGGTTCTTCTCCACGAGTGGACGTCCCTCGTCGGAGCCACGAGGAGGCGTCGTGGTGTCTCACACTCCTCTGTGCCTGGGTGTGCGGCTGTGCATGTGCCCCACCTGCCGGCTCCTCACTGGGGTCCCACCTCATGCCTGGCCCCAGTCTGTGTGTCTGTGTCCTTGGGGAACATGTGAGGTGGTTCCAACTTTCTGGAAGTCTTGGAAGTCTTTTATCACCCTATTGCATGTTTTTGCAACAAAAATGTGTACATAGGTTGAAATTAGAATTTAAGAAAAAATCTCACATGACCATAAAGCTCTAAGGGAGAATTTTTCTTCTGGTTTGAGTGGCCATTATGAATACCCCACTGAAGAAAACAACACAAATATTACAGGTTTGGTGAATATCAAACCTAAGTACATAGAAAATATGTTTCTTAAATGGAGGGGCTACTTTTTTCCCTCAGTTAATTCATGTAGTCAGTCACAGTTGAATATACTCTCTTACTAGAATGAGACAAGGTCAGCATCAATTCTAGTTGTGCTTTTTCATTTTGAATTGAGAAGGCTTGTTCACATAAGTAAGTAGTTGGGAATTAACAGGGTTTAGATATAGCAGTGGTATCTAATTCCAAGTTATTTGCCAAAAACAAACAAAATCACATAAAGATCTAATATGAAAAAGTGTTGTTGATTTACCAGCTGACAGCTCACATCCCTTCCATTCCTAATAACAGCTTTATTGAGATATCATTCATATATCATAAAGGTCACCCTTTTAATTTGTACAGTTCAGTGGTTTTTCCAGACCATGGTTCCAGTTTTGTGATATTACAGTCGCTGTTTTAACACACATCCTTGTTCCTTGTCTCTAATCTTTTAAAAGTAATTTTTCTTGTTTTAATGGTAATAAAGTTAATTGGAGAAAACATAAAATACAGTTAAAGCCAAAAAAGTAATGATCCATTTGCCTCTTAATCCAGAGGTTTAGTTCGTGGCATTTACGCCTCTGAGATCGTGGGACCTTGAACCTGTGTGGAGACGTGGGGCCTCTCGTGTGTGATGCATCGGGTTGTGGAGAGAAAGGCAGCGGAGTGGCCTGGGGGAGGTCGGGCAGCAAGCAGGGTGGACACTTTTTGGAGGTAATGTGGTTGTGCCTTCGTTGGAGTCCCCCAGGAGGGGGTGGGAGCAGGGGGTCCCAGGCCAGGGCCTCTCTCCTGCCGGGACAGCCACTCCCACGCCTGGTTCTCTCCTCTCCTGGGTCTTCCCTCCGGAGCAGGGCCACGTGGCCTTCAGATCCCACCTGGGGTCCGCAGGAGCAGGGCCGGGACAAGGGCACTCAACACGTGGGGACCTCACCGGCCCGTCAGAGCCGTCTCCGGGCTTCCCTGCCCCTGCACTTACGTGCACTGCCAACCTGACCCGTCGCATGGTGCCTTGCGTGTGTGGCTTTCCCTGTGGCTGTGCCCTGTTGCTTTGTTGTGGCCTAATCACAGTCTTGGCAGACCAGGCGGCTCGGAGCTGGGTTCCCCTAAAGCTCCTGGCTGAGGCCCTTCTTGCCTGCTCTGTAATTTGGGCTTGAGGTTGGGTGGGCCGAAGGCCAAGATCCAGAGACCCCCTGAGCCCCAGCCTGGGGCGCCTTGTTCCCCGCCCCATGAGGCTGCTGTGGGAAAGAGCGGGTGTGGAGTCTTCATGCGCTTTCGGTGGCGGAGGACCGGGGGCAGAGCCCAGGGGGTTTTGGAAGGGCCTCGTGCTTCTGCACATCTCAGTCCTTCTGTTGACTTGGCAGTGGCACCACCGGGTGCACGCTCAGGGAGACGCCCTGACGTGTGGCAGAATGTCTGGGCTTTGTTCCTGCCACATCCAGCCCCAGCGGGTCTTGGATGGTTCCTTCCCGACTGCTCTACTCACAGCTCGTGTAACAACGTCAGAGTGTGTGCAGTTACCTCTCAAATGGGATCTTGCAATGTCTTCAGCTTGGCTTTTTATTAACAAATACTCCATGTGTGGCCATCTTTCCATGTCCGTGTCCAGGTCTGACTGACTCAGGAAGTGACATGGTGTTGCATAAAATCGGGGGTGTTAAATTTATCTAACTAGTCACTGTATTCTTTTCCTCTCACTGCGGTTGGCTCTGCCTGGTTCCTGGTCCACACGTAGGTTGGGTTATGTGAGTCCCTAAGTCCCTGGATTCTGGTTCTGGGCCTTGTGGCCCTGGCGGCTGTGGCTGTGTCCATCGTGACTGGGCTGCTGTTCTCCGAGGGGCACACAAACCCAGACAGGGCGTGCGCTGTAGCCCAAAGGGCCTTCAGTTCCCTGGGGAGGCCCCACTTAGGCAGAGGCGCCCAGATGTGCCTGCCCTGCTTGAAAGACTTATGGTCTGGGTGTCCACAAAACTCACAGGGGCTGGTGGCCATCTGGGTCTTTCTCTGGGTCTTCTGTGCCAGAGAGAAATGAGGACAGTAAGGGAGCGCCAGACCAACGGGCTTGGGAGAGGCGAAACACCGGGCATTTCCCCAGCAAGGCTGTGAACTGCATTCTTTGAAACTGACCTTTTGTCCATTTGTTTTTATGAGAAACGTGAATTTAGCGCCCGAGTGTGCCAGGGTCATAATGAAGAACCAGTTACAGCCTCAGTCTTCGAGGGGGTGTTCAATACAAATGAAATAATAACTCAGATCCGTACGGCTCTACACCATGGTCAGTGCTGAGGAGAGAGAGCTTCAGGGCTTGGGTGTGGGTCAGGGAGGGCGCCCGAGTGTCCTGTGGTCATAAAAAGGCACCACAGGTCGGCTGACGTAAGGCAACGACTTATTCCCACAGTTCTGGAGGCCAGAGTCCAAAATCAAGATGTTGCTCCCCCCGGAGTCCCTGGGGTGGTTCCTCCCTGCCTCCCCGGCTCCTGGAGGCCCCAGGCCTTCCTTGCCTCATAGCCTGGGCTCTCCGGTCTCTGCCTCCGTTGTCGCACTGCCTTCTGCCTTCTGTATCTCTGGGCCCAAATCTCCCTCTCCTTTATCTTCTTGAGATGCTGGCGCTGGGTTTAGGGCCTCCCAGTCCAGGCTGACCCACTCTTAACTTGATTACATCCGCAGACCCCACACCCTATTTCCAAGGTCACACACCCAGGTACCAGGGGTGGGACTTGAACACATCCTTGTGGGGGACACAACTCAACCCGCCACGAAAGGAAATGGTGTTGGGGCAGAAGACTGGCTGATCACTGAGCGGGCAGGAGAGGTCCTGAGAGGGGGGGCGTTGGGGCGGGGCGGGCCATCGGGGGACAGCAGACGGAAGGGGAGGGCCTGTGGCTGAGGGCTCCCCTCCACTGACGCCTTCCTCGGGGACGTGCCTCTCTGCTGTCAGGTGCCCCCCGGGCTGCGTTGAGCCTTACAATCTGCAACGGTGTTTCTTCTTTAACCAGGGAACTACTTCGCCTCTCACTTTTTCATGGGAGGTGAGAAATTCGACACGCCCCATCCTGAAGGCTACCTCTTTGGAGAGAACATGGATCTGAACTTCCTGGGCAATCGCCCGGTCCAGGTGGGTCCAGGTGGGGCCGGGCATGAGGGCAGTGGGGCAAGGCCTCTGCCCTTGGCTGCCCAGTCCTGGCTGCCAGGACAGGTGGGTACTAAGTCATGTCACTGGACTGGGAAGAGCTGGCTGGACATGTGCACGTGATGTGTGCGTATGGCGTTCTGGCACTGCCCCCGTGAGAGGCCAGGTGGCTGAGGGTGGGCCACCGGGAACAGCGTGGCTGCTGCTGCCCCTGGCATGTCTAGGCCGGACCTGGTCCCAGGCCCCTTGGATGACTTCCTTTAAAAAGGAAAAAGCGTCCACGTTCCATAGAAGAGTGGCCAGAGGTGACGTGCAGTGGCTGTCACCACTGTAGATAACATTAACATTTGCCCAAGGTCCTTCTTGGAGTTGGGGGACTGTGGCCAAGCACCTTCGGGGTGGCTCTGGCCCCAACTGTCCTGTGAGCCAGCCGTGTCGCCTGTGGTCCCATGGCGTGGATGCGAGCTGTGTTGCCCAGCAGTCTGCATGGGGCCCAGGAACACGGGCTGGGCTGGGCTCTCATTGTCCCTACTCGCTGCCCCTGCCATGCCCCGGGGTCACCTGGCCCTGCTCTGGGTCTTGCCTCCTAGTTCCCTTACGTCACCCCTGCCCCCCATGAGCCTGTGAAGACACTGAGGAGCCTGGTGAACATCCGAAAAGACTCCCTTCGGCTTGTGAGGTAACCTTTGTGTGGCCACCTGCGTTTCTTTAGGCTGGAGGCAAGGGAAAGAGCCCTGTGGTGTGGGCTCTTCTGTCCAAGCGGGGTGGCCCCCCATTTCTGTGAGGGTGGGATTCGACCAGGAGCTGGCTCTAGGGGCCCCTGGGGGACGGTGGGGGTGGGGCTGCTCTTGCAGGCGTGGCTCCTGACCTGCCTGTCCCTGCACCCCACCGACAGGTACAAAGATGGTGCCGATAGCCCCTCCGAGGACAGCGAGAAGCCCCGCGTCCTCTACAGCCTGGAGTTCACCTTCGATGCCGACGCCCGGGTGGCCATCACCATCTACTGCCAGGCGGCGGAGGAGTTCCTCAACGGGACAGCTGCGTGAGTCCCGGTGGCCCAGGGCGGCGGGGATCCCCAGCAGCTCTGCTTCCATCTGTGTCATGGATCTGAGCTTCTAGAGGTTTTATGTGAATAAGGGCCCTACTGGCCCCCAAAGTTTGAAATCTGCAGCCTCAGCACGCCCGTGGCAGGGCCGCCTCCAGCTGCAGGCCAGGACCCGACGGGACTGGGAGAAACACGCCTGCTTCCTGCTGCCGGGGAAAACCACCCCGGCCAGGCGGGGTCTGGGTGTGGAGCTGAGGCGGAGAGCTTGGGCTCTAGTCCTGCCCCTGCCCTGCCCCTGCCAGGCGGCTCACAGCCTGTGACTGCTTGTGCCTCCCTTTCCTCTTGGGGAGCGGGGTGGCTGGCGCTTCTCCCTTGCAGTTGGTGTGAACGCCCTGCAGCTCCGCACATGGGAGGTGTGCTCAGTGTGAGTTCACTGCTGTTGGGGAAAACCCGGGGGCAGGGCTTTGGAGGGAGCACGCCCCGCCGTGAGGCCAGCCAGCGTCCTGCCTCCAGCTCTGGCCTGGGCCGTGAGGCCGGCGGCCACCCTCCCTGGCAGCACTCGAGAGGAGTACGGTCCTGTTCTGTAGCATCTCTTTGAGGCTCCCTGTTGGCCCAAACACTTGGGGACTTTCTTTTCAATGACACAGCAGTTCACAAATGTGCTCTTACCATCACCAGGAATGGGGGCTATGCCCCCGCCAAGGTGAGCTCAGTGCCAGCTGGTGCCTTCTCTCCGGCCGTAGTGGTGCCGACACGCCCCTGTGGCTGTGTTCACTAGTCTGGGTGTGGGGGCCCCTCCAGGGGCACTTTCCATCTGGCCTGGCTGGCCTGACCTTTGTCCTCGGCCATGTCCACTTGCTCTGAGGACATGGGTGGCAGTGTTGCGGTGTCTTGACAGCCGGGCAAAGCTTCCGTGTCTGTGTTCTCCTCTGGCTTGACTGCCACAGTGGAGGCACCTTGGGTTAGGGGCTCCTGGGGGGCTGCCGCAGAGAGGGGCAGGCAGGCCAGCTGGCGGCCCCCCACCCCATACACTCCCCCAGCGTCTCTGTCAGTTACCCTTGGGCTAGTAATACAGGCCTGATGCATTGAGAGGAGGGCTCTGTTGCCCCCGTGTGATCACGTGCTGGTTGTGAAACTGCCTGCAGCCCAGACCCCTGGGCCTGTGTTTCCGGAGCCACCTTCTCCTCTGGGACCGGTGGGCACAGAAATGCTGCTGCCCCCTCCCTGAGACCTGGCAGGAGGCAGCAGAGCCTGCCTCCCCTCCCAGTTTGCTGGAGTTGAGTGGTATCAGAACTGGGGTCACTGGGACCGAGAAGCAGGGTGGCTCCAGGACCAGAGATGCCCAGGCGCCCTGGCCTCAGCCAGCCTGGGAATTGTTTTCATTCGAGCTACAGGCCAGGTGACCCTCCTGCTGCTTCCCTGACCCCTCCCCACTTCCTGACAGGGCAGAGAGAGGGCAGGCCTGAGGTCTCAGAGAAAAGCCCAGCCTGCATGGGAGCAGAGTTCCAGCTTGGCCTCACTTGGCACCGAGGCCTGGAGTGGGGCCGGGCCCTCCCGGGCACAGGGGCCTTCCGCTCTGCACACAGGGGTACCCTTCCCAGTGCTGTTCTCTGGTCAGAGGCGCCAGGGCTAGAGTGAGACTAAGAGAGGCCCCAGGGATGGTGGGTATGGGGTACGGGCCGAGGGAGGTGGGTGAGGGTCATGTACTGGATTTCTGAGTGGGGAGACCCCAGAGTTGGTTGGAATTGAAAATGTATGTGCCCTTTGACTCAGCCATTCTGCTTCTGGGAACTTACCTCGGGGATGTGCTTGCACATGTGGCTACGGTGCGCAGGACAGGGTCCTGGAAGCATTGTGCGGAGTAGCAAGATGTGGCGACATCTGGTGTCAGGTGGTGGGGTGGAGCTGACTCAGAGTGACTTGTCTGTGTGCATGTTAACTGCACAGGAGTCAAGGGGCAGAGCAGAGGTGTGCGGCTATTTGAATATTAAAGAGGAGACACCTGCGCCCACCAGCGTGAATCTGCCTCAGTACCCCTGGAGTGACACAGGGCCGTGGGGGCGGGCAGAGAGGCAGGGGTCTGGGACCAAGCATGGGGGGGTACTTTGCACTGTGGGCATTTTTGTACCATGTTCATTCAAAGAGTGAAGCTGTGAAAACCAAAGGGAAAGGCATGGCTAACTCTGGAATGGAAGCAGAGTTCCTGGGCAGTGTGGGCTCTGGAGGGCACATCGCTAGGCGTGGCCTGGGCCCAGCGGGAGGCCAGCAGGAGGCCAGAAGCAGTGGGAGGGCAGGGCCCTCAAGGGCGGAGGCCAGCTGCCTGCCCTGCCCGAGCGGGCCTGCGGGTCAAGCTCTACTCAGTCTGCAGACAGCCGCTGGCTGGGGCCCGGCGTCAGCGGCCCTGGGCCGGTGGGGCCGGGACGGGCGCTGCGGTCAGCCAGCAGCCGCCTCACCGGCCCCCCTCCGGGCTGTCGTTGCAGGTACAGCCCCAAGAACCCGTCCCTGCAGTCCGAGACGGTCCGCTACAAGAGAGGGCTGAGCCGGCAGTTCTCCCTGCCCTCCTTCAAGATCGACTTCTCCGAGTGGAAGGACGAGGAGGTAACCTCTGGCGGCCCTCTCCCCGAGCTCCGTCCCCTTTGGCGGGATTCGCTCAGCTTCCTCGCATGGTTGATAAGCATCAAGAGCGGCTGCTGGCCAGGGTCTGTGTGCTCAGCTGGGCTGTGGAGCTGGGCTTGGTCCCGGCTTTGGCTGCACCGGACAAGCGAGGGGCTGCAGCAGCAGGTGGAGGCCCCGGATCCTGGCTTTCGGGCACAGTCGGGGCCGTGGGGCTGCAGGCCAGGTCCTGTCCGCCGAGCGTTCCTCATGGGAATCGTGTGATGTGAAGGATGGTGTTGATCACTGATGTGTGGCACTGTAGCTGGCTTCTGCTATGGGATGCCACGCAGCCTTACAGCAGATGGGAGAGCTCTGAGTGTCCTAGTCATACTGATGGGGAAGGCCCCTCCTGGTGCGGAAACAAATAGGTGTAATTTTCATGTGTGTGGTGACAAGAAACTGCATGTTTGTGCAGGGGCGTGTGTGTGTGTGTGTGTGTGTGTGTGTAAACCTCGAGGAAAAGCTAGAAGGGACAAGCACTTAGCTGAAGACAGTGGCTGTTTCTGCAGAGGGTCCTGGTGTAAAGAAGAGTTATGTAACACACACACACCCAACATACATGCTCAGGGTGAGTGTCAACACTGTACACCTCTGAATAATCTTGTCTTATTTTCTAACTTATTTTCTAACTGTGTTCCCTTTTAGCCATATTCCCCAGATTTGTCTGTTTAAAGGTTACGACAATTGAGCATGCTTATTGTAAAAAGTAGAAATAATACACAGTTTGTAAAGTAAAATGCTCCCCAGTTGAGTCTTCTCCAGAGATGACAACTTCTGGCCCTTCAGGACATGTAGATCAGACTTTTTTCTGTGTGCGTTTGTGTTTTATAAAAATGCAGGTATAATTTACATACCACAAAACTCCTATCTTAGTGTACAAATCAGTGATTTCTAGTAATCTTATGAATTGTGCAGCCACCACCACAATTCAGCTTGGAACACTTCCATCCTCCTCGTAGGACCCCTCCTGCCCGTTTATAGTCAATCCCTTCTCCTAGCTCCCAGCCCCTGCCAGCCCCCTGTCTGCTCTCAGTCTCTGTGAATGTGGCTTTTCTGGACGTTTATGTAAATGGAATCCTACAGTACATAGCTTTGTGTGGCTGCTTTCACTCGGCTGAATTCCCAGTTTTTTTAACAGCAGGTAGTGGTGTATTGTGTTACTAGAACACATACGGGGGAAGGAGTGGAGGCAGCAGGGCATGGTGTGGTTGGTGTAGGAATGGTCAGGAAGGTTCTGGATCACGTGGTAGGTCATAAGGTTAGGGCCATGCCCTGGTGCTTGCCCTTGGCCATGTGTGCCTGCTAGTCAGGGGCTCATGGCCACGTCTGCACCCCTTACAGGAGAAAGGTAGCTTCCTGAAGGACGAATGGGGCCTGGGAAGCCAGAGGAATCGCGGGACGGCTGGCCCCTGGGTGGTTCCATCCCTGTATGTGCACACTCCCAGTGTGGGTGCCCAGTACGCGCATCTGGTCCTGCCTACCCTCTGCAGGCTGGGGGAAGGGCGGCTTCCCAAAGGAAAGGGAGTGGGAAGGTAGACAAGGCAGTGCTCCCACCCCGGGGTGGCCCGTGGGGCAGGCTGGCCTGAGGCTGAACCTCATTTTAGTGACCGCTGTCCAGTCCTGGCCCTTGGCATTTGGCCCCAAAACGGATGTGGTGTGTTTGCGGATAGGCTGAGTCAGGCCAGCAGTTTGGGTTCTTGACTCCCAGTGAGGTCACTTTTCCTGGGTGGGCACCTGGCTTGTACGCCAGTTTCAAGTGCCAGGTAATGGCCCCCCTTCCCTCCCTCAGAGCATCAGGGAGCCCGCACCCCGGACTTGTCAGTGTGTGGTGGCTGCAGGGGTGGGCAGGGAAGGCCAGGCAGGCATGGTGGGCAGCAGGTTGGAGTGGCCTCTCCGCGCCTGCCTAGTGTTAGGTTATCCCAGGGCCCTGTCCTCGTCTTTGCTGCCTCTCATTATCACCTCAGCTAAATGTTCTTGAAATCAACTCAGTTTTTCTCAAGTGTATTTTTATTGCAATAAAACACACATAACATGAAAGTTGCCACAAGTAACATTAGTGCTGGTGGGGCTGTGCCCCACTCTGCAGCCCCAGAACATTCCATCTCCCCAAAAGGAAGCTTAGCACCCACTAAGCAGTCACCGTTGCCCCTCTCCTAAATGTATTTTTAAGTGGAACTTTATCAGTCATGACTGTAGCTGGGAAGCTGCTAAGCTTTGCCATGAATAGAAGCTTCTAAAAGTTAAGCTGTGTGGAGAATGAACTGGTGTTATCATATCCTAGTGCCGTGTCACTGCCTGCTGAAGGCTTTGAGGGGAGGGTGGGCAGGCGATAGAGACATGACAGACGCTCTGGCAGCATACCCAGATTTCTCCTTAAATCAGGGTTTCTTGGTCTTGCTGGTGGGGCCGTCCTGTGCGCTGTGCAGTCAGGCAGCAGCCCTGGCTGACACCCCCTAGGTGCCAGGAGCACCCCTCATTGCAGTTGTAACCAAACGTGTCCAGACTCAGCCGGGTGGCCCCTCAGCTGCAAGCATTATGCCCCAGAGGCTTGGCCAGCCTCCCTTTTAGCCATATTCCCCAGATTTGTCTGTTTAAAGGTTACGACAATTGAGCATGCTTATTGTAAAAAGTGCAAATTATACACAGTTTGTAAAGTAAAATGCTCCCCAGTTGAGTCTTCTCCAGAGATGACAACTTCTGGCCCTTCAGGACATGTAGATCAGACTTTTTTCTGTGTGCATTTGTGTTTTATAAAAATGCAGTCATGCTGTACAAATATTATTCTGTAGCGTATTCTCTAAAAACAGCTTTTTGAGACCTAATTCACATACTATACAATTCAGCCTTTTAAAATGTACAACTTGGTGTTTACTGTGTTTGCAGTTGTGCAGCTGTCACCACCATCTAATTCCAGAACATTCCCATCACCCCTGAAAGAGCTCTGTCCACGGCAGCACTCCCGCCCCCGCCCCCCCCGCCCCCACTCATCTGCTTCCTGTCTCTTTGGATTCGCCTGTCCCGGACGTTTCCCATAGGCAGCGTCCACGCCATGGGGCCCGTTGTGGGTGGCTCCTTTCACTGGGCGCGTGTCTCCCAGGCTCATGCACGGAGTAGCGCACCTCGGCGCCTCATTCCTCTGCCCGGCCGTCGGTGCTCCGTCCCGGCCGGACCGCAGCTGGCGGCCAGCCCATCGGTCGGTCGGGTGTTGGGTTTGCTCCCACCTTTTGGCTGTAATGAATAAGGCTGCTGGGAACATTTGAGCACACTTTTGTGTGGATGTATGTTTTCATTTTTCTTTCAGCTGCAGTTTGCTCTTTAAATCGATTTTTTAAAGACTTCATTTTTTTTGGAGTAGCTTTAGGTTCACAGAATTAAGAGGAAGATACAGAGATTTTCCAAAGACGCCTTGTCCCCCACGTGCATAGTTCTGCTTTTGTACTGAATTGTATCGGTGGACGTCGTTCCGGGTCAGTATCCGTGGCCAGAGCAGCTTCTCTGCTGGTGGTCTCCACCGGCCCCTCCCGCATTCAGGGCCAAGTCCAATCTTCCACCGCTCTCCCCATTTCCCAGTGTCCATCTGTCCATCCCGGCGACCCGGGGCCTGCAAGGACTCGTGTGGCGGGTCCTCTGTAGGGGAGACCCGGTGGTGCCAGGCCCCCAGCGGAGCCGTGCGGGGAGGAGCCTGGTGTGACTCACGCTGGCGGCAGCTGCTCTTTGCTCCTGGCCTGGGCGGCTCCTCTTCCCTAAGCCTCTCTTCCTGCACTAAAAATAAACGTCTCCCTCAGACTCCAGTGGGCGGAAGCCCCTGTCCCCTCAGTGCGCTCCATTCTGCTGTGGACTGGGGAGCGGGAGTTTTGGGCAGATCGTCCTGGGTCCGCCCCGTGGGCCTCTGGGGGCCTTGCCCTCCTGTGTGCTGTGCTGGTTGGGGTACAGAGCTGAGGGGCGAGGGCGGCCCGTGGTGGAGGCCATTTGTGGCCAGGCAGCCTGGGAGTGGCTGCATCTGTGTCGCCTGGCCCAGCGGCGCCACTTGAATGAGTGCCGCACTCGGAGCTGTCCTGCTCTGTTGCCAGCACGCGGCCCTGAGCGGGCCACCAGCAGGAGGTACCCACGAGGCACCGGCAGCAGGGCCTTCTTGTAGCATCTGTGTCAGGACTTTTGGTTGCAAGTGGCAGAAACACACCTTGGTCTGGTTTAAGAAAAGAAAGTCAGGAATTTATTGGCATAGATTCTGAAAGACTACGATGGCTCACGGTTTCCGCAGGGCCTGCCGTCCGGACGGCGTCTCTCCCTGTGAGCCAGTCCCGCTTGGGGCTGGCGCTCCTGGCCCGGCCCCAGAGTGCCAGCAGGGTGCACGTGCTGGGCCCAGCGCCAGCCCTCTAGGGCCTCCGCTTGGAGCGGGCACACACCGTCCTTTGGCCAGACCTTGTAGACCCAGGGCAGGAGGAGGTGAGCCCCAAATGTCCTCAGGGGAAACTGTGGCACTGCTGCCTGGAGAGGGCGTGTGGGCTGGCTGGCAGCTGCCGTCTGCACCTTCTCGGTGGGTCTGGACGGGCAGGACAGGAGGCCCAGGTGGTCGGGTTTCGTAAGAGCAGAGGCTTGAGAATGGAAGTACCAGGGGTGTTGGGGGCAGCAGCGGAGGTCACTTGGGGACGGTCATTGGCAAGATCTCTCCCTGTGCCATGACTCGGGGCTGGAAGGGCAGTTCAGGCCCGTGGAGGGGCCCCCGCCTGCTGGTAGCTTTAGACGATATGTAACTCCTGTCTTGGGTGGCCACTTCCCTGGCCCTGTGGGTCACCCCAGACTGGAGTGTGGAAAGGGGCCCCATCCCTCCTGCAAACCCAGGTTTCCTTGGCACAGCCTCCCATGCTGGGGCCGTGGGGGGCCTGGACATGCCCCCCACCTCCTACTACAGCTGGTGCACACACGTTCCCACAAAGTCCAGTGATCCTAGGAGTTTGTGTGCTGTGTCTTTCTGTGAGGCCCTCCTGGGCCCCTGCTGTCTGAACAGGCAGAGCTTTGAGTGGCTGGCGCTCGTGCTCTCCCAGTACTGTGCTCGGAGCCGGTGCCTTAGGCACAGGTTTTATCCCTGTTCTGTAGGTGGGGAAGCTGAGGCTCGGGTCATGGGCCGGACTTGAAGCTGGCATTCCCGAGGCTGACCCTGTCCCAGCTCCCGGGCCCCTCCCAGTCCTTCCATGCACAGCCCGGGACCCTCTTCCAGGCAGTCCCCCCGTGCGTGTCCTCGGCTGGCCGCCCCTCTCCTGTGGGCTTGGAGACCTGCCCCTTGGCCGCCCCTGGAGAGCAGTGTGGAGACTGTGCCTGAACGGACGTGTGGGGGAGGGGGCCCCCCCCGCCTGCTTCGCGCTCCTTCTCCAGCCTGTCTCACTGCCCTCACCTCCTTTTTTCCTCAGTTGAACTTTGACCTGGACCGGGGCGTGTTTCCAGTGGTCATCCATGCCGTGGTGGACGAAGGAGACGGTGAGCGGCCTGTCCTCCCCAGCCCCCCTCAGGCGTGTGTGCCCTGCTGGAAGAGGCCGCTGCCACCACAGGTGGAAGGGAGGGGTGTTCCAGAAGCCGGGAAGGCCTCGGCTCAGCCCACTGAGCTGGCTCAGGGCCTCGGGGTGCACACTGCACGCCTCCCGCTGCCTCTCTGTAAAGCGCTGCTCCCGGGCCCCTCAACACTGCCTGGGCTCCCTGTGTACTCAGGCCCCGCGCCCGCCTGGCCGCCTCCCCAGTGGCAGGTGACAGCAGCTCTGACTGTGGTGTCCAGCCCCCAGGAGGGAGGGAGGTGGCTGAGTGGGCCGTGCAGGCTGCCACCCTCGCTTCTCAGGCTGCACCGATCCTCCACCGGGCCTCCCTCCTGCCAGTCTTGCTGGCTTTGTCCTCTGCAACGGGCTGCGGGCCCCCTGGCCTAGGGTGTGTGGACCCCTGGGGCTGAGCTTGTCCCCGGCCCATTGGCCGAGTCCTGGCTCCTCCACGCTGCTCGGTGTCCCTCCAAGTGCAGAGTGAGTCAGTGGGCAGAGCCGGCCTCGGGCGGTCAGGTGTGACAGCTGTGGGGCCCCGGGCCGAGCACGGGCCATCGCAGGTTCTGGACTCTGTCCATAGCTGAGAGGAGGGAGGGGGAAGCCCAGGGCAGGGGGCGAGGAGGGGCTCTGACTGCACTGTCCTCTCTCTCCCTCCGGGCAGTGGTGGAAGTGACAGGCCATGCCCACGTGCTCTTGGCCGCCTTCGAAAAGGTAAGCGCTACCCTGTCCCTCACCATGCCCCAACCCAGCAGCTGTGGGCAGAAGGATGGTGTGGACTTGGGGGCCAGGGCTTGGCCGGGTGGGCTCAGTGCTGGAGGCCAAGGGTGGGCAAAAGCTTCTCCCGTCATACGAGGCTCCAGGGGAGATGGCGCATCCAGGAGGAGGCTTTTCCGAGGATGTGAAGTGAGGGGCAAGGTCCTTGGCAGGCCAGCCCTTCAGGACTCCAGCGCCAGCCGTGATGGCCCTGTGGAGGCTCCGCTCACAGACCAGCTCTACTCTAGGATGCAGAGGGGCATACCGGCCCTGCCCCTGCTGTCCAGGGCTGCTGCTTGGGGGGGGCTCTTGCCCGTCATCAGAGCTTGGCTGCCGGTCGCAAACTTACCTGCGCATGAGGACCACCCAGGCAGTTGGTTTTTGTAGGTCAGGGCAGACCCAGGAGGCACGCTTTCTAGAGGTTCCCCAGGTAGGTTTGAGGCCAGGTCAGAGGCCACAAGTCGAGAAATGCTGGCCCCGGCCTGGCGCTTCCGTCTCCATGTGGTCTCCCCCTTTCTCAGCCATGGGTGTGGACGACCACGCGGAGGCCCTTGGCCAGCCAAGCGGCAGTGCCAGGCGGCAGTGCCAGGCGGGAGCGCCAGGTGGTGCCCACTTGGCCAAGCTGACCTCCAGGTCTTTCTCCCCTGCAGCACGTCGATGGCAGCTTCTCTGTGAAGCCTTTAAAGCAGAAGCAAATCGTAAGTCTGCCAGGGAACATCAGGACCCCTTTTGATTTAAAGACATGCACACACACACATTCTCACACGCGTGCGCACACGTGCACATGATCCAGTAGTCTCCATGCATTATTTTCCCCGACCACTGTGGCTGCTGTGGAGGTAGCTGGTGGCGGCCCATCGACTTGTGCGCCGTCACACGGGCTCTGGGCTCCAGGAAGTTGGGGTCCGACTGGGTCCCTCGGGCACTGTGCACGTCCTGCACACGCGCCGTGTGCCAGCCTTGGTGGTGGCCCTGTGTCGGTCCAGTTGGCCATGCTGCCTGGAACGTAGTGAGCATCCAGCATATGTTTGCCGGATGACTGAATGGACAGAAGGACAGACACAGGAAACAGTTTGCAGCCTCCCTTCCTCCTCCTCACAAATGGCTGAAAATACCTCAGTATTGGACAAAGACCTGGACTGACTTAACCGACACTTGAGAGGAAGGATGGAATATCCTGGAAATGGGAGCCGTAGCCCAGTACACCTTTTCTTCGGGGCCAGTGTTCCATGGTCATACACCAGGAAGAAGTACCCCTCACAGCCCCCACTTCGGCGTACACTGTGGGGACTTGGTGGGTGGGGCTCTCTGAGCTGTGCCCTTAGATCTCAGTGTCGGGACTGATTCAAGAGTAGCCCCGGTGGGGGCTGTTTCCAAAGCCATAGTCAGGTCACGCTTGTGTGTAGCTGCTTGGGTGTGTAAGGCACACCCAAGATCGGTGTTGGTTGGTTCGCTTCAGAGGGGGTGGCAGCAGGGCGGGATGCCCGCAGAGGGCGAGAGATTGTCTCCGGAGCCGGCAGGATTGTGGCTCTCAGGACGGGTGTTTGTGGTCCATGGAACTGTGAGAAGCAAAGCAGCTCTCAGACTACTTCCAAACACGGTCAACTTGAGGTCTGATTGGTGGACCCCCCTTGGGGTCCAGAGTGGTTTTTCTCTTGGGTTGAGGACAGTGAGGTGAGAACGAGGTGGCTCCCCGGCCTGTGCAGACCTTGGCTCCATGCGCCTGGGGGCTGCCCCGCTGGGCCCCTGCCCCGCTGGGCCCCCGCCCCGCTGCCTGTGCTCCCACGTGGGCCGGCAGGTCACAGGTTCTCCCCGCCTCTCTCCTGGCACTGGCCCACTCCCTGGGTGGGGCTGGACAGAATTTCCAACACTGCCTGCCTCCGAGGTGGCCCCTGGGGCTGCTGTCCGCCCAGGTGGGTTTAGAGGAGCCCTTGGGCTGGGCTGGCAAATGCCCAGGTGGCCTCTGCTCTCCAGGTGGACCGGGTCAGCTACCTGCTGCAGGAGATCTATGGCATCGAGAACAAGAACAACCAGGAGACGAAGGTATGTGCTGGTGGCGAGCCATCGCCAGGGCTCCTGGGTGTGACCCGCCTGGGTCCCCAGCTCTGGCCAGGGCTCTGTAGGTTGATGACAGATGACCAGTCCCCTTCCCGGCCTTCCCTTGGGGGCCCCAGGACTCCAGACTCCGTCATTTTCCCTTAATTTTTTAAAACAGTTAACTGAGTCTGTGAGACATTTTGTCCTTTTTTCAGCAAGTTCCCTGGCTTGTTGGGTAGCCGGCTGTCGGGTCAGCGGGGCAGCCTGGGGGTGGGGCGTGGGGCCCGACCCGCTTTGGGCTTAGGCAGGGGCGATCTGGCCTGTGTTCTCACAAGCAGCGCTGAGCCGGCACTGCCCCCGCAGGCTGCCTGGCCCCCCAGCCACGAGCCCTGGGGATTGTGTGGATGGCTGCACCTGTGCCCGCCTGTGACAAACGGTGGTGGCTGGCAGAGCGCTGGTCTAGCACAGCCAGGAGAGGCAGCAGAGAACCAGCTGGTGCCTTTGTCATCATTTTAAAGGCACAAAATGAAACTACTGCCCTTTAAAAAACCTCAGGTCTTACCGCCAGCTTTGGTGGCAGCAGGAGCCCCTGGAGGCAGGACGGGGCAGTTCAGCCAGGCCCTTAGCATCAGCAGAGTGCCGCCTGCTCATTCATGTGTCGTCTGCCAGAGGTCAGCCGACGCTCTGTAAAGGGCCAGGCAGTAAACGCTTACAACTCTGTGGGTCCCATGGTATCTGTCGCTTCTGCTCAGCGCCCTGCTGTACATACAGCGCAGAAGCACACAGTTCAGAAACAAGTGGCAGGTCCGCGTTCCAATGAAGCTCTGTTTGAAGAAACAGGTGGTGGGCTGTGATTGCTGATCCGGGTTTTGGAATGCTTCTAAATGTGTCTTGATCACTAGTTCTGATTAGACAAGTTAGACTAGTCCAGTTTCTTCCGTTTTAACCAGGTAAGTAGGTAGCCTCTGGAAGACTTGATCTGTCATGTTGTGTCTTGTCGACGTTTTCCTTTTGGTTCTGAGGAATAGAAAGAGACCTGAATTCTGATTTGGGGTGTGTGTTGGTGGAGGGGGGTGGCACAGATCCTCCTCTCTGCTGTGGGGCTGGCATGGTTGGCATGGGCTGGCCAGATCTGAGCCTGTGAGCGCAAGCAGCTCAGGGCCACATCTCCTGAGGCTCCCTGCCCCACGGTGACCTTCCTCCACCCCCTCGGGCCTCTCTTTCCTGGGGCAGGTGGGGATGGCCGGTGGGGTGGCTGGGGACAGGAAGGCCCCTTCCCTGCCCCCACCCACACTTGCCCCAGCCCCTGACCCTCGGGCTCCTGCAGCGCTCGGACGAGGAGAACAGTGACAACAGCAACGAGTGTGTGGTGTGCCTGTCGGACCTGCGGGACACGCTGATCCTGCCGTGCCGCCATCTGTGCTTGTGCAACTCCTGCGCCGACACGCTGCGCTACCAGGCCAGCAGCTGCCCCATTTGCCGGCTGCGTGAGTGGGGCCTGTGCGCCGGGGCTGTGGGGGGCCGAGGACGCAGCGCGTTGTACCGTGGTGGCTGCCATAGGCAGTTGCATGCCTGGTGTCTGATGGGCTTGTGAACGGGTCGGATCTGCACACCTGCCTCAGGAAAATTAGACTTTCAGAGTGAATGCCAGGAGGGCGCTCAAGGACATGTGTTTGCGGTGAAATGGAACTGGGTAGAAATTGATCAGTGAATCGAATCTCTGTTTTAAAGGTTATGTGGAAAATACTTTAAAACAAACCACAGTGAAATGAAAAACGGACTAGGTAGAAAAATTGATGGAGGAATTAAATTTGGTTTCTTAGAGCACTCTAGACATGTTTTCAGTCAGAAGTCATCATGTTGGGCATAATTCTGAATAAAATATTTGTCTTCCAGTGGAGGGAATCTGAACGTTCTCAGTGTAAAAAATCCCACTGGGTCAAAATGACTGTTGAGCTGGTAGGTCAGCTGTTCTGGACCCGTGTCCCCCCAGCAGTGGGGGCTTAGTAGGTAAATGATGGTTTTCTAGAAAAAGCCTTTCTGTCATTTCCCACCTCGGTGTGCAGGTCAGCCTCCCTGGGGCTAGCTGGGGATACTGACATGTCACCCCTCACTGTCTTGGGCCTTGCGGGGAACCTGCCCAAGGTCATGGCTAGTAAGGGGCAGAGGCACTTGCTCTTGACCCTGCTGAGCAGACCCAGCCACACCAGCATATCACGGGTCATCCCTCTGAGATAGCAGCCAGGCAGGCTGTGCAAGGGGTGTGGGTGCGTGGAGACCATAGGGCAGGCTGGGGGTGTGGGCATGGAGGGCGACGCCAGGCGGTGTGAGGGGCCCAGAGCCCAGGAGGAGACCTCCGTCTCAGCGGGACGTTGGGATGGAGTGGGAGGCTGCAGGGGACGTGTGCTGGGCCTGGAGGATGGGCGCAGTGTCCTGTGTGACCCTGAGGAGGGTGTATGGGCCAGGAGCAGAGAGCCGGGTGCTGGGGAGCAGCCCTGGAAGCTCTCCCCAGGTCAGGCAGCACAGTCCTGGCCTACTGTCTCCCTCCTGGGGCCGTGTCGTTAGCACTTTGTTCTGCCCCTCATTCTCAAATGTGGCTCATCCCGGGACTGCCTGCGGTGGGGGGCAGCCAGCGTCCCCAGAACTCGCAGGGTCCCAGTGGTGCTGGAACCGGTCGCTCCTTGCCTGACATGAGTCTTCCCTGTGCCCAGCTTTCCGGGCGCTCCTGCAGATCCGGGCGGTGAGGAAGAAGCCGGGAGCGCTGTCCCCCATCTCCTTCAGCCCGGTTCTGGCCCAGAGCGTGGACCACGACGAGCACTCTGTAGGTGCCTGCCTGTGCCGGGGGGTGTGGGGCGGAGGGAGGAAGGCGCCCAGAGGAAGTCCCTGCGCACTGTGCAGGGCCCGCCTGCATTTGTGAGGATGGTGTCCAGCCTCCCGTGGGCCTGGGTCAGTCAGGTGGCCCTGGGCCCTGGCTCGGGGGCAGTGCCGGGCCAGGACCCAGATGGTCTGGCCAGCATCTCTGCCTCCCGGCCCTCTGGGCCTCTGTCCTCATCTGCCTGGCAGGCTAGCCCTTGCTGCACTGTGGCATGAGGCTGAGTGGGGGTAGCAGGCTGGGCTGAGGAGCTCCGGCTGCCAGTTCTGCCGACAGCAAGTCGCCCTCTGCTGGGTTTGAGCCTCAGTGTCCATTCCCATTGCCCCACCAAGCCAGACAGCCGGGAACGCTCTGTGGGTCTGAGGGAGTGAGGTCTCCTCGCAGGTGGCTGTGACACATGCTCTGTGCGGCCCCAGCCTGGGCTCTGGGGGGCACCTTGCTCCCCGGGGAACTGACACGGGCTGTGGTGCAGGCCGAGGGGGAGCCAGCCTGGCTTTGGGGGAAGGTGGGCAGAGAGACAGAGGTGGGCAGAGACAGGAGAGACACACAGTGAGAGACACGTGCAAAGAGACATGGAGAAAGATGCAGAGACGTGGGAAAAGATACAGAGACAGGTTGGGAGATAGGAGACCCAGAGATGCAGAGACACACAGGGATGAGTGTAGACAGGGAGGAGCAGGTGGACAGACACAGAGAGAGAGACAGCAATGGGAACGGGGTAGAAGGGAGAGGCCTTGGTGGGCAGGCTGGGGAGGAAAGACGAGGGCCAGGCCTGGGTCTCGAGGTCCCAGGGGACCCCAAGTGTGGTCAGCTGGTGAATCCGCTCTCCTGGCACTCAAGGGAGGTTATTCGGCCCCAGTGACTCGTAGAGAGGCTGCTAGCTCTAAAAAGAAACAGAGCCCGAACCCTCTGCATGGCAGCCCCATGAGATGGACTCCTGTACTGGGCGGGTGGGGGTGATATGTTCAGTCCACAGTGTCTCTGAAAATTGGGCCAATGTTTAAAAGTCTGGAAATTTCCCTTAAGACTCATATATCTGGCTTCTCTTTCAAAACACGAAGCTGTGGTCTCAGAGCTGGAGAGGATGCAAGGCCGCCCCTCGGGGGCGGGCCAGTGGCGCTGTCTGCTTTGCCTGCGGGCCCTGTTGCCTCCTGCAGGCAGCCCTCTGGCACATCTGACCCTGGACCCGATTTAGGAGTGCTGCACCCGTCCCCCATAGCACAGTTTGGTAGAGAGGGGAGCAGCATTTGGGGTGATCTGCCCTGACAGAGGGGTTTCCCTGTTCACAGAGGGATGGACGCTCAGGCGGTGGAATTTATTGTCCCTGTGTGCCCCTCCCAGGGTGTCTGAGGGTCAGGCAGACCCTGCATGGTTGTCCCTCTCGGCCTAAGAGAGCCCAGATGCCTCTCAAACAGTGTGGGTTAGAAGGCGCGTGGATGGTGACCTTCCATGCCCCAGAGGGTTAAGGTGGCCAAATAAATGGGTCCTCGTTCTCTGTCATGTTCCCTGTATGAGCAATTTCCAAATGGTGCCAGGGAGGCCCAAGTTTGCCATTTTGTCCAGTGAGTCTGTTAAAATTGTGGCACAGTGGGTGTGGTTTGGAACCGATTTTTCTCGCCAGCAGCCACCAGGAGGTAGACATTGGTGATGAGTCTTGTGAGGTGGTGCCAAGCCTCTTAGAAGTGCTGGAGGCCTTGTCAGGGAGCCCTTCTCCGTGCCTAGCCAGGTCGGCTTACGGGAGTGCCTGGCCGCTCTCCTGCCCGCCCTGGCCAGGTCTTGCCAGGGGTGTCCCAGACCATGGGTGGCACTGGGGACAGGCTCTAAGCTGCATAGACCCCCCCCCAGGCCCCTGAGGCTGAACCCGAACTTGGCAAGGTCCCCAAACTTCACATGCACATTAAGTTTGTGCCACTGGCTCATGGCACACAGAGGCCAGCAGATCAGAGACCCTGTCCAGCCAGCTCCAGCGCCGGGTGGGCGGGTGGCAGATGTAAAATGTATGACTTTTATTTTGACAGTGTCCCTTTAAAAAATCAAAGGCGCACCCCGCCTCACTGGCCAGCAAGAAACCTAAAAGGGAAACAGTAAGTGTGTTTGGCCCTATGGCTGTGTCTTTGCCCCGTGCCCTAATCATTAAACCGATGACAAGTATGGGAAGTCGCTGTCACCCCAGGCTAACGTGTTTGGCTAATTTAATCTGTCAAATCCACTCTCCCCAGTCCCGGCGTCCCTGCCCAGGAAGGGAGTTTTGTGGAGCAAGCAAAGCTCAAGGTCTGTCGGCAAAAAGCCAGTCTCGTGGCCCCCGGGCAACAGCACTGGCCTCAGGCTGCCCCTTCTCGCCAGCTCTGCTTCCGCCCGTGTCCCCAATGGCCTTGTTTCCCTTTTTTTTCTTGCTGGCAGTGGAATGACATTGGATGGGAAACTAATGCTGCTGGTGTTTGCGAACAGCATTCCTCGTGCTTGCCTGTCACCCTGTACCCCTGCTCTCTGCCCCTCGGCTTTTAGAGCTTTGGGCCAAGAACTTGGTTTTCTGCATCTCGGGAGGCAGGGTGGGGGGCCAGGCAGCGTGTGGCAGCTGGGCTGGGCCTCTGCCTGGAGCCTCTGCTGACCCAGGAGACCCAGGTGGACCCCATGTCCCCTTGGTAAAATTTAGAGAGGTGGGAGTCAGTGGCAAGTCAGCCTAGTGATGGAGACGGAGGGAGGTGTCCCCCGTTCAGAGGGCGAGGTGGTGCCCAGTACTTACTTACTCTCTGATTGGAGCAGCTTGGGGGCAAATGCAGGGCAGAAGAGGCCCAGGGGACCCAGGAAACCCTCACCCTGGCCCTTTGCCTCCCGGGGGTGCTCCGTGGCTGCCCTTCCAGTGGGGCGGTCAGATGGACAGGAGTCAGGGGTGGGCAAGTGTCACCATGGGTAGGGAACGCTTGGGAGCGTCCGTCCTTCTGGTCACCGAAGAAGAGTGACGCCTGTGGCTGCCCCGCCCCCACAGCACCCGAGCGTCTCCCTTCTCCCTTTACCTTTAGCCCTGAAGCAAGACTCAGCCTGTTAAGTTTATCTGCTCCCAACAAGGGGGAAGATGGGTTCTGAACCAGGGGCGCCCATTGGAATTACCTGGGGGGCATGTCCCCCCCTGCAGGTGCTCATCCCGGGCCCATGGGCTCAGCTGGGCTGGGTGTCTTGTTGGGCAGGGCTCCCTGGGGGCCAGTCCTCCCTGGTCTAGAACGCGAGGCTCCCCCATCTCTCCCGCCTCTCGCATGGCTTTGCTCTCCACTCACCCCCAGGCGCCCCTTCTTGTCGCTAACCCTCTCTCGCTCTCCACCCCCTGCCAGGCAGGAGGAGCAGAGAAGAGAGCCAGGCAGGGGCTGACAGGCTGGGTGGGACGGCTCTTCCAGGCCCTCTCTCCCTCTGACTGGGCGTTTGGGTGTGGAATGCTGCAGCCGGCAGCCAGGGAGCCCTGGGCGTGGACGTGCGCTCCAGAGCCCTCGGCCCCTCCGAGGGAGCCCCTGGAAGGTGGAGCAGACAGGAGGTGGTCAGCAAGCAGGTTCTGGGGAGAGGAACCTCCCTGGGGCCAAGCCCAGGGCAGTGGGCAGTGGACAGGGAGCCCGGCCAGCCCGTGCCTCACCCGCTCTTATCCCTGCAGAGCTCGGACAGCATCCCACCTGGCTATGAGCCCATCTCCCTGCTCGAGGCGCTCAATGGCCTTCGGGCCATTTCCCCAGCCATCCCTTCAGCCCCCCTTTATGAAGAGATCACCTATTCGGGCATCTCTGATGGCCTGTCCCAGGCTAGTTGCCCACTTGCTGGCCTTGATCGGATCATGGAAAGCAGCAACCAGAAAGGCAAGCCGAGGACCAAATCCCCCGACAGGTGAGGCTGGTGCCAGGATTCCCACCCTCCTGCTCTGGGACCGGGAGCTGTGCCGCCGCAGTGAGTGGCGCACGCTGTGTTTATTTGCAGGTTGAGTACCTTTATAACATTTCATCCAGTGACTGGCCAGAAGGGCTCAGAAGACCAGTAGCGGGTTAGGCTTGTGGCTAAGGCCAGTCATTGTACAGGAGATGGAGCAAAGCAGCAGGAAATAGTTGAATCTGTGGGGGTCGGAGGCGTCTGGTGTCCTTCCCGTCCCAGGCCACCCAGGAGCAGCACACCATGGGGCACGTGCAGTGTCTGCCCAGAGGAGCGGTTTGAGTCAGGGTTCCAGGACTTTTTGGGGGCTGTCAGTGGGTACTCCCTGCTGTGAGCCCAGTGATGGCGACCTACCTGGGTACGGCGGAACCAAGGACGCACATGGAGCTTGTTTGTGGCGTCATTCTGTGTGATGGCAGCCTCTTTATCGACACGTGAGCCTTGCAGGCCAGGTGCCCCGGGACTGGCCGAGGGTCAGCTGTGGCTGCTGGTGAGGACTTGGCCCTGCTGAGCTGCCTTCCACACATGCACGCTGTTTTTTCCCTAGAAAAGTGTAAAGGCACGATGACCCAGCCGTGGTGCCAGTGACTTAGGCGTGGGCGGAGCTACCCCACAGTCGCAGAGAGGCTTGGGTCCCCCCTACTGCCCTCTGCACTCCTCCGCTCCCCACAGGTGTAGCCACGTGGTTCCCTTCTCCTGGAAGAGCAGCGCTGTAGTCAGGCCTGTGGCAACACCCAGTGGCTGCCCAGGGGCACCTGCTCCAAGGACCCTGTCGCCTGTTCGCAGGCTCGCCTGCAGGTGGCATAGACGTGGGTGGAGTTGGTGGGTGTCATCCACTGCCCTCCACCCTTCCCACTCTCTTCCCCAGTACCCTGCGGTCCCCATCGTCCCCCATCCACGAGGAGGATGAGGAGAAGCTCTCCCCGGACTTGGAGGCCTCGCCCCCACGGGGAGGGGTGCGGCTGGCGCTGAGCAGCTCCCCAGAGGTGAGACTCTGCCCTCCTTGGTCCTGCAGCCACCAGTGAGATCTGAGTTCCACTCATGGCCACTTCCCACGCCTGCCTGTTGGCCACCCAGACCTGTGGCCAGGTGTGCCCTGGGCCCCACTCTGCCGTGCTCCGACTTGGCCCCCTTGGTCCACTGTGACCCCCCCAGCTTGCTCCCCCATCTGCGGGGTGGGCAATGTGTGGTAGGAGGGGCTGTGTGGGAAGTGTCTGGTGCACACCGCCTGTCCCGGAGTGGCGGCGGCCGCTGAGCCTCCACCCTGCCTCCAGCTGCTGGCACCAGGGGCGTTTCTCTGTTCCTTAGAGCCTTGTGACGGAGGAGGGCGATGGGACATCGTCCCTGAAGCAAGGTGAGCCCTTTCCCTCCCAAGGAGTGTTCCCGGACTCGCTGCCAGTGGCGGGGAGGCAGAGGCCTCCAGGGCAGCCCCCTTTCCCGATTGTGAGCTCATTGCGGCAGGGCACCCTGGGGGACAGCTCGCAGCGCCGCTCCTGCTTCCCCTGCATACCCGGCATTCGGCAGCGGCAGTCATTATTTCCCATCTGCATCGTTCTGTACGTGCTCAGCTCTCTCTACTCAGGGCCTTCAGTATTGGCTGCCTAGCTGTTGCCTGGAGAGACCTGGCTCTCTGAGGAGGCCTTGGGTCTGGACAGCTGGGGTGCAGGTGTGTGGCCCGGCCAGGCCGCCAGGCCCCTCTGCATGTCCCAGCGCCCTGTGCAGGAGCCTCGGGCCTTTTGAGTGGAGGGTTGAGTGTGTAGCAGCCTGCCGCAGCTTGGGTCCCAGCTGCCCTTCGAAACTGGGAGATGGTTGAATCTCTTACCAGTCCATCTTGATTTTTAACTGTGATAAACACACAGCCAAAGCCCCACGCTGAGTATGGGAGAGAAGGAAAGTGAGGCAGAGGAAAAGAAAACATCTGCCTCCAGGGCCCCTGGAGGGCAGGGGACTGTCCAGGGCTGCAGAGCCGTCCGGGAGGAAAGCATGTCTTCTGGGACTGAGACCCTCTCCTGCCTGTGGGTCCCTCACCTGCCACTGCCTCTGCAGGAAGCCGAGCGTCCTCCATTGAGAATGTCCTGCAGGACGGCAACCCTGAGCCCTGCCGAGGCCCACCTGGCCCGCCTGCTGACATTTACCTGCCAGGTAACAGCACTTGGCCCATTGGCACGGGGCCTGCCAGGCCTGGGGATGGGACTGTCACCAGGCACTGGGGGCCTTCTCTGCCTGGGAGGGGCTCGCCCGCCCAGAGCCTGGTCCTGCTCCCCAGCTGTGAGCCCTGCAGCCCTCAAAGCAGCCAGGCCCGGGTTCCTCAGCCAGCCCTCCGTGGCCCCTGCTGGGCCCTGCCTGCACCCTGGAGCCAGCTCAGCCTCAGGAAGGGGGAGGCTGCTATTTAAGGACTCACGCCTTCTTCCAGCTCATCTCCTGCTCCGCCCAGGCACGCAGGTCTGGGCCCATTGGTATTTCCACGTCTTCCTCCCTGGGCCTGGCAAGGCCTCTGCCGCAGGGAGGTACAGACAGGAAGCCACCCACTGGCCCCAGGCCTGATGCTGACCGCCAGACCTCCACCACCCTCCCTTCCCCCATACAGGTGAAGCTGCCCTGGGGTGTCAGGTGCCTGCAAGGCCCAAGGGCAGTGGTGGATGGTGGAGGGGTCTTGTTTCTCTGCCGTCTTTCCTGAAGGCCTCGGCCCAGGGCCCCATGGCTTCAGCTCCTCTGCCATCTGCTCCTTTGGGTCAGTGTCCTCAGCTCCAAGTCACAGGCTCCAACATGCAGGACAGGACTGGGGGTGCTCAGACACCTGTGCCGGGTGCCTGCTAGGACCACGTGAGGTTCTGGAATCAAGACAGATAACCACATGGCCCTCTGAGCCTGCCTCCTGCCATGTGGCGGGAAGCCCCCTTGACCCCCCCACCTGCCCCAGGATGCCCGCTTGCTAGGTCGCTGGTGACCTGGCCTGGGCATCAGGTGGCTGTGACTTCTGTAAGGCAGAAGGCCCTCTTGTCCTGTCCCAGCTTCTGGATGTGCCCTGTGCAAACAGAGGGTCCAGTTAGCCCGGAGGGTGACAGAATCCCAGGCGAGACAGCAGAACGCCATGTTACACTGGCGCACATGGGCTTCCCCAAAGGGAAGCCCGTGGCTGAAAGCTGGCACACCCTAGAATGACACAGAGTTCCAGTAAGTTCTTTCAAAGGACTGCAGGTGTTACATTATGATTGCAGATTTGGGGGTTGGAGCCCTGAGGAGAGGAACTCAGCTTCCTGAGCTACGAGTATGAGTCCTGACCCTGCAGGGCAGTCCTGGGCTTTGGCCACCTGGTGCAGGTCGAGGGGCTCTTGACCCCACCCAGCCTCTGCAGTGCCATCTCCCATCCCTGCTGTGGCCAGAGCTTCAGGCATCTGCAGGGCCAGGACAGGCCAAAGCCAGCTGGGCAGGGACTGCAGGTGAAACCAGGCCCTCTGGCCCACCCACAGGCTGGCATCTGTGGCCTTTGGCTTCACAGATGGGGCAGGAGGCAGTTGGCTATGGAGGTGGCAGGGGAGAGGCTGGAGTCTGCATTTGAGGCTGTGGAAGGCCAAAACCCAGCCCAGGGCCCAGCTGGCCCGCAGGATGGCTCGGTACGCTGCCCACTCTGCAGAGCAGGTTTGTTCTCACGCCAGAGCGTGCAGACATGAGGCAGCCCGTCTTCGTCCTGCATCTGCCACCCCCCAGCACTGCTGACTGCACCTGGGGGAGCGGGCAGGGGACCTCAGGGAGGTGCCCACCTCTGTAAGCACATGTGCACATGTGCACGTGTCTTATTTGCATTCTGGCACCCTCTGTTTTGCTACTGCCATTTTTCACTTGAGATCCTGAGCGTTTTTCACGTGTGTGTGTGCTTTAAGAATGTGGACACACATGGGAGTCTCTGTTCTTGTTAACAGCTGCACAGCCAAACCCTGGATGCATGAGACATAATTTAGTGAACCTTAGTGTTCCCTGTTGGTGGAGAAAAGGAGGTTGGGAAAACCCATAAAATGGTGAAAACCTAGATGCCCAGCAGCCCTGTGCAGTGGGGGGCCTTCCCGGCCTCCCCCACCCCCAGGGCTCAGCCTTGTGCAGCCCCCAGCCGTGTGTGTCCTCCCCAGGGGGAGTTCCTCTGTGTTGAGCTTGGCTCCATTTCTCCCTCATTTCTGTACATCGGTTTGTGTGGGCAGTTCGTTCTCAGCCCCCTGCACCTTGTCCTAAAGCAGAGCCTTCGCTGTGGAATGTGCTGGTTTGTCCGAGGGCTTCGCTAACTGAGCTTCCGTCTCTCTCCTCCTCTGCACAGCCCTGGGGCCCGACTCCTGCTCTGTTGGTGTAGAGGAGTAAGCCGGTACGTGATCGCCCTCCTACGCATGGGGGGTGGCCCTGAGGGGCGTCCCTGGCAGGCTGCTAGAGAGAGGACCCCCTCCAGCCACCACTCCCCCTCCCTCCCTGGGCCTTCCTCCCCATTTTCCAGCGTTCTTCCACGTCCATGTCTTCCCCAGGGTTCTGGATTCTGACTCCAGGGCTCTATAGATGCACCACACCTTCGTCTTTCCAAGGTGGTCCTCTGGGCTCTGACCCTGGCTGACTTGGAGCAGGAGGTTTTCTGTCCAGGCTAGGCGGCCCAGTCAGGCTCCCCCTGCCTTTAGGGTCCCGGAACTCAGCCCTAGTTGAGAAGCCATTGTTGCTGCTAACCTGTCCCCCACTCCCACCTCTGGAACCTCCCGGAATACCAGCACACACACGCCGACGTCAGTCTAGTAAGACGTCGTGTGAGATTGACTCCCCCCTAACAGGGAGGTGCTCTCCACCTGTGTGACCACAGCCGACATTTCACGGAAAGCAGTTCCTGGCCCATGCTTGGTGACCCCAGGCCTGCTCCTGGGGCCACCGAGCTGACCCCACAGGCTGCCCAAACAGGCAGAGGCTCTGGGGACCCCTGCCTCTCCTCCACGTGCTGTCAGCGGCTCTGGGGAACCTGGGTGGAGAACCCGGTGTCGGCACAGGGTTTCCCAGATGTGCGTGGCATGGAACATTCCAGCCGGACTCCCACCCCGGTCCAGGAAACAAGGGCCCAGCCGTCTGGCCGGGGACACATTGGCCCTGCAGCTACAGGCCTCCTCCCAGGTGCTGTTCCAAGCCAAGGCCGCAGTGAGGGCTATTCTGACAGTCCCACAAATCCTTCCTGTCCTCCTTGAACATTTCCTCTGATGACTCTTACCCTCTGTTGAAATAGGGCCCAATGCTTTTATGAAGCTGCCTCTGGCCTACTCATCAGCAGGAGATGTTGAGTTTGCAATTTAGGTGAAACCTCTAGAAGTGGGTAACGGGTGAGGCTGAGCTGGGGAACCGTTTCGGCCGTGGGCTATGTGGCAGAGCTGATGTCCTGCACAGAGCCACAGCTGCTAGACACAGTCCCTGACTGGCGACGGGCGGTGTTGAGCAGCAGGGGGCATCCTGCGGCCCCGGGAAGTGTGCTGGCCCCTCTGCTGCTGCAGCCAGGCCTGGGCAGACCTGGTCCCAGGACAGAGCGGCTTCTAAGGAAGGCAGGGTGCTCCTGGTGCTTCCTGCAGTGCCACTGCACACCCAGGTCCAAGACCGCTCTCCTCTGCCTGGCGCTGCGTCCAGCCCGATCCAGTGCAAAGCTCCACAGGACAGTGGCTGGTCGGATCCCAGGAAGCATGGACTGCTTGAGGGAGGAGACGCAGGGGCGGGCAGCCTGCAGCACCCCATTGTGTCTGTCCCAGGGCTTCAGGTGCTGGCACTCTGGGGTGACCTGCTCTGCAGGGAGCAGGCCCCCACTTGCTTGGCACGGGCTGGAGCCCAAGCCCTCTGTGTGGTCGCACCACAGACAAGCAAAGGGGGGTGCTTAGGTGGCCCAGCATGTTCAAGGGTTCATGGTCAGTGGGACCCAGAGCCTGGCAGGTGCGACAGGGTGACTGCGCTGAGTATGACCCCTCCTCCCTCTGCTCCCACCTGCAGGATGATCCACCTCCGTGGAGACACCCTGCAGCCTCTGCACCACCGGCCTCCCCCGGCCCATGCTTGGTGGCCCCAGGCATGCTCCTGGGGCCACCGAGCTGACCCCACTCTGAGAGCCTGGCCAGCCTGGCAGCATGGAGCCCTCAGCTCCCCAAACTTTGCCAAGGGGCCACCGGGACTCCAGCGTGACCCCCAGCCTCTCCTGTCTGCACGCCCTGTGTGGCCACTGGCTCCAAGGGGCCATGCAACCCTTGATTAAAGAGCACAGTGGACTGTCCCCTTTGACAAAACTTTTTCTACAGTTGATGTATTTGTAAATGGTACAAGATGAAGGACAGTAGCTTTCTGTCCCGGGCACTAAGCTCCAGGGGTTCCCCCGAGGCCCATGTTGGCTGAGCAGTGTGGGCAAGGGCTGACCACTCACGTGTGGCCCAGATGGGCTTTAACCCGGTTGGTGGGGTCTTGATACCCCAAGAACTCAGCAAGCCAGCAGACAGAAATTTATTGGTGGGAGAAGTGCTATCTTCACAGGAGATGTTAAGGGGGCTGCTTGCTGCCGGGGGAGGGAAGGAGTGGGGTCCAGGTCATGGTCAGTAAAGTAAACACAGTGCCTGTCGCCTACCCCACATGTCTGTCCTTTGTGTCCCTGGCTCTCACTGCTGCTTTACGCCCTCGGATGCTCTGGCCCTTCGGTGTGGGAGCCCCCCAGCCCCCAGCCCTTCCCCGCAGCCCCACTTGGCCCTCGGGGCAGTGGGGGTGTCTGCCCCCGAGCCAGGTCTGGGTCTGACCCAGGGGCTGAGGTGCAGACACACAGACATTGGCAGCAGCGGGTGTCCGGTGGCACTTTCTCAGAGGGGGCTTTGCCTACATCAGCAATCCCTCCAGGTTAGGGGGTGCCCTTCCGCTTGGCCGGCAGCACTGAGGCCTACCTGCCCCAGGCCCTGAGTGGCTTCTCTGCTCCCCCTTTACTGACATTTGTGTTTCTCTTTGATTTGTTCTTTCTGGGATACCTATGGTGAGATCTGCCTTGGGAGGAGGGTCCCATCTCAGGGGACCTTATTTTTATTTTTTAAGCTGAACCTTTCAGGCAACAGGAGGGCCACGGGGGTGCCCAGGCAGGTGCACCAGGGTGGGAGCTGTACCCACAGGGACCTTGACACGAGCGGGTGGCTTTGTGTAGCTCTCTGGGGTGGGAATGCTTTCCTGCAGAGGGATTGGATCCCCCAGGAGTGACCCTGGGGCAGCCAGCGGCAATCCCCGGGGGCCCCAGCCTGCCTGCAGCCCTGGGCCCGTCCCAGTGCTGACGCTCGCCGCATGGTGCTCCGGGGTGCCACCAGCAGCGGCCGGGCTGTGTTCCCTCCTGGCCGAGCTCAGGTGGCTTGTCTCGGCCTCCTGTCTCGCCTTCCCTGCCACCCACAGCGCACCCGTGCAGGCTGGCTGCCTGGCTCCCTCCCTGCACCCCTCTCCTCTCCACCAAACCCCAGCCTCTCGCCATTGGTATTGGTGCCAGTACTCTGTTTGAAGGTCGGTCTTGGCCTTTGACTTACATGTGCTCATTTGATGTACTTATTGGCTAGTTTTGGTTCATTTTTACTGTATATTTATAGTAATAAAATCATGCAGCAATATCCCATCCACTCCTTCCTCTGTGCACAGCACGAGGCCTCGGCTGTTTATTGGCCAGGAGTCAGGACAGCTGAGTGGCTGGTGGTGGCTCTGACACCCTCGTGGCGCAGCCCCTGGTTCTTCCAGTGTAAGATGTCAGTGACGTACAACTTCCAGGAGCACCGCCCGGGTGCGTGAGGAACGTGAGCTGCTGTTTATCACTTTGTAGTCCTTGTGCTGAGTCTCAGTTTGGAGCAATGGGAACCCAGGGGACTTGGCTTGGCCTTCGGAGCAGGTGGAGGAGCCCAGGGCCTCCAGAATTGTGAGTCTGCTGCAGTCTGTCTCCACGGTTGATGCATCCCACAGATGTTTACTGAGCACCTACCGTGTGCTGGGGGCGTTGGGGGGCAGAATGGGCAAGGTCCCTGCCCCTGGGAGCTTGTGTTCTAGTCAGCTGGACACTGCATAAGTAACCTGAGCTTCCTCAGGTTTCGTTTATGTTAGGAAGAGAGTCACCTGGTGACAAAAATGGAGTCACATGGGGGATTAACAACCCGTGGCCAGGAGGGCTTCTCTGAGGAGACATTTCAGCAGAGCACTGGAAGACGCAAAATAGCTGCCCTGGAAGAGCTCCTCAGGCAGCCGGCCTGGCGTGCAAGGCCCAGAGACGCCGGTCAGCCGGAAGTGCCCACTGAGTGGAAGGAAGCATGAGCGGCCCGGTGGCTGGAGCTTTGGCATCAAATATGGAGTGCAGACACTGCAGGGTCTCGTAGGGGCAACCAGTTTTATTCCTAGAGTCAGGTTTGTAAGCAGGGGCGCGACTCTCTCCAGCTGTCATGTGGGCAGTGTGTTGGAGGGGCACGTTTGGCCACCTGGAAGCCAGAGCCCAGCTGGGGACCTTCTACCTGCCAGGCTTCCGTGGCCAGTGAGTGGCTTCACAGTAGAGAAAGACTGGTGCCAAGAATGCCTACCTCAGCCCTGCTCACAGCACCGCCAGCCAGCAGCCGCCCCGTCCAAACCCTGAGTCCTGACAGGGCCACAGCAGGCACGAGAGCCTCCCTCTCAGGGTCTAGGGTCCTTCCCCATGTCTCGTGGACCTAATGTGTGAGGTCCTGGGGGATCCTGCCAACCCTTGGCTGTCCTCTGCCCTCCTCTCACCCTGGGCCACAGAGCCTGCCCGCGCTGCATGGCTCTCCCCAGGCTATGCCTGGGACAGAACCGCCGTCGGCGAGTGCGCTCTTCTCAGCAAATCCATGTCCACCATGGGAGGAAAGTGAAGCTTGGGCTAGCCAGTGGGGTGAGGGGGGTGTTCAGGGGAGTTTCTGATACTCCTGAACCCTCATAACTTTTCCCCGCCAGACACGGGTAACTATCTCAGACCCTTCTCCATGTGGACACTGGGTAGGAGAGAGGGTGGGATCCAGGTGGGATACTGGCTGTGGCACCAACTGCTGTGTGCATTTAGCCAAGTCCTGTCCTCTGAGCCCTAGGCTCCTCAGTAAATTGGGGCAACCCCATTTTCTCTAGATGCAGCTGGCATATGGTGCCTGGTTTGGAGGATACCTGGAGCGCTAAATTTAAGTCAGTTTCAGCCCTAGCAGGCTGGGCGTGGGCTTGGACTAACGGGGCAGTTGGGGCTGTCAGGCCCTGCGTTCCCTACTCTTGTGCAGTCAGGCGTCCAGCAGTGACCTCTTAGCCGGTGGTGGGCGCCCAAGAGGGTCGGGTGGCGCGTGTGCTAGGGGATTGTGCCCTCTGGTCGCCCGGCTCAGCTGAGCCCTCGAGTGGGGAGCTGACAGTGGGAAGCCCGCGAGACGGCGCTCCCCGGAAGGCTCTGGGGAAGGCGCGACTCTTGGCGGCTGGGGGCGACACAGTCGTTGGGGTTCCCGCCGCGCTCCTTGGGATGCAGTTTGAGCCCAGCCCGCAGGTGCCGAGGTCCCCAATCCACGCTCCACTCCAGCGGGCTTGACGGGCGCAGGGCATCCTGGGCGTCGTGGTTTTCGAGGACTGGAGTGGGGGGGCCCTGCGCGCTGCCCCGCCCTTTGCACGCGCCCCTTTAGCTGTCAGCGTCGCGATGGGCTCTGCGGCTCTGCGCGTAAGCGGCTGGCGAAGGGGCGGGGCCTGTAGCGCGGCTGCCCGCGGATTGGCCGGGTGCGGCGGGGTGGGCCCGCGCATGCCCTTAAGGGGAAGCGCGCTGGCGGCGGGGGGCAGCGCCAAGATGTCGACGGCGGGGCTCCCGGAGCTGAAACAGATCAGCCGGGTGGAGGCGATGCGCCTGGGCCCGGGCTGGAGCCATTCGTGCCACGCTATGCTGTACGCCGCCAACCCCGGGCAGCTCTTCGGCCGCATTCCCATGCGCTTCTCGGTGCTGGTGAGGACGCGGGCGGCGGGCGGCGGGCGAGCGGGGAAGGGGCGCCGCTGTGTCCCCGCGCCCCTGACCCGACGCTCCCTTGCAGATGCAGATGCGCTTCGACGGCCTGCTGGGCTTCCCCGGGGGCTTCGTGGACCGGCGCTTCTGGTCGCTGGAGGACGGGCTGAACCGGGTGCTGGGCCTGGGCCTGGGCTGTCTGCGCCTCACCGAGGCCGACTACCTGAGCTCGCACCTGACCGAGGGCCCGCACCGCGTCGTGGCTCACCTGTACGCGCGGCAGCTGACGCTGGAGCAGCTGCACGCCGTGGAGATCAGCGCGGTGCACTCGCGCGACCACGGTCTGGAGGTGGGGCCCCCGCCCGGGCCCCGCCCCCCGCCCCGGGGTTTGGCTCTGGCCCCGCGGAAGGCACCGATGGGTAACACGTCTCCCTGAGGGTCCCCCTGGCCGGGCTGGGTGGGCTGTCGCTGTCTCCACCATCGGGCCGGGGAGGGGGTGGTCTGGGATCGGGCTCCCTCGGGGCTGTGTTCCATCTGCCTTGCTGCCTGCCATTGCCAATCCTGGGGGTGGGAGTGGGGTTGGTGGGGGGATGGGATGGGGTAGGGCGGGATGGTGCCTGCTCGGGAGGTGGGAAACTGCAGGGCAAATACGGGGACTCGTAGGGCTGGATTCCCGTGGTGGGGGCGGGGGCATGAAGCCCTTAGCTACTCGTGGGTTTTAAAGTGTCTGGATGGGGCTGGGAATGACATTTGCGGTCCCCGAGATTCACCAGGCGGAAGGCGGAGCATGGGGTGCGGGCTTCCCGTCAGCAGATCAGGGGCCAGGATTTGGTGCAGAGAGGGATGTGCATGGGGGTGGCCTTCAAACTTGCTTGGGGAGGAGAGGCAGTGTCGTTCCTAGGGTGCCACTGACTTCCCTGTCACCAGACCCTGCCTGAGTCTCCCATTATGTCCTAGGTAACCTGGCTGCCCTTCCCCTGGCCTAGCGGCTCACAGGGCCCCCCTGCCAGGGCTGTGCCATCTGTGCGGGGGCCCGGCCCCACCCTGGTCTGCTCTCCGCGCAGGTGCTGGGGCTCGTGCGGGTCCCACTGTACACCCAGAAGGACCGAGTCGGCGGCTTTCCCAACTTCCTGAGCAATGCCTTCACCAGCACAGCCAAGCACCAGCTCCTCTTCGCCCTCAGGGTGCTCAACATGATGCCGGAGGAGAAGCTGGCTGAGGCCTTGGCGGCAGCCACAGAGAAACAAAAGAAGGCGCTGGAGAAGCTGCTCTCCCCTTCCTGAGGTTGCTTCTGTGCCATGTGGCCGTTGCCCTTCCCCCCACTTTATGCCCACAGGCTGAGAGTGGGCCCTGAATTCCTGTTTGTGCCCCATTCCAACTGCATGGGGCAGGTGGGCAGGTGGACATCTTACCTCCACTACCCTGAGCAGTTACCAGCTGGTGCCCTGGGCCTGGCTGTCCGAGATCCCACCCTCCCTCCCCCGTGTCTCCTGGGCCCCACAGTTGTCTGACTTTTAGGCAGGTGGGTGTTTGTGCACTTTGGTTGGTTCTTGTGCAGGACACCTTTTTCTAGGGTGACGCATTCCCCAGGGCCTGGAGCAGGGCAGGCTCAGGGTAGGATGCTGTACTATTAATTGTGGTGGTGGTTAGCTTTACTTAGTCAGATTTTCTGTTCCATGGTGTGTGAGCTGTGGGTGAGGCTTCAGAGTAGCTCTGCCCAACTGGGGCTTGGGCACTGCCCCCCAAGGGGCGGCCAGGGGCAGCTGTAGACGGGTTTGTGAAGGAGGAAAGAGCAGCTCTGCGCATCCTCTGGTCCTGGCTGCCCCCCACGGCTAAGGACAGGAGGTGCTCCCCTTCTGCCACCACCCAGGACGCGAGGAGAGCAGGCTGGGCCCCTGCTCAGGGTAGAGTTGTCGCAGGCCTCTCGTCCCGGGCGGGGCTACCCTCCACCTCCATCTACTGCGGCGCCACCAGCCTCGGGCCTGACCCACCCGTCTCCTGATGCTGGAGGCTCCGGCTGTGCGGGGCTGAGCCCGCTACTCTGCTTTGCTTTGCGAGCCCCCTCTCTCCATTCCCAGCACGGTCTGCAGGCAGCTCCAGGGGCTGATCTGGAAGCACTGGCCGGCGCGCAGAATGACAGCCGCAGAGCCACCGCAGGACAGGAAAGTTGCCACTGTCGGCCTCCCTGCTCTGGAAAGACTCCTCAGTGAAGCGACCAGTTCCCCCGGCGCCTGCCTGGCCCGGGCGTCGATTCTGCCTTCGAGCCTCTATGCAGTGGCCAGCATGTGCGGGCAGAGGCACTTGGTTCTGTGAATAAAACGCCTGTACCGTGCTCCTCCCTTCTATTCTGGGCCGCGGAGGTGTGCTTTGTTCTCCAGGTAACGTCTGTAGAATTATGGGGGCTGGGGGCTTGGCTTGGCATGGCTCTCCCCTTCCTTTGGTCTGTCAGTACTGCATGTTTGACCAGAACTGAGACCCTCACCAGCTGATCTTAAGTTTTATTTTCCAGCAAATGACAATATGCTGCCCGGGCGCCCCAGTCCTCACCCAGCAGGGCAAACCTCAGTGTGGCAACTGGCTCTCTCCCCGAGGCCCTGCCAGGTTCTGGGTGAGAGGCCCTCGTCCTGCCTCCGTGCGGGCCTCGCTGCCCTCACACTGGCCAAGTCCTGTCCTGTCCGTGGCTGCTCCTGGGGCCAATCCTCTGGCCCCGCTGGGACCTGGCCTGCTGCTGCCGTCTCTCTCCACCCTCCTGTCCTCTGGGCACACAGCTTCAGGGTGGATCTATCACCCGACGTCAGAGTCTGATGAGAGAGAGAGGGCTGAGGTGGGCACTGGCTCAGCTGCTCAGCAGGCTCCTGGGCTGGCAGGTACTCACCGTCCCTCCCGGCTAAGGCTCCCGCCAGTTCTCTTTCCCGTGGAGCGCCTGCAGCTTCTCCAAGCTCTGACCCCTGACCCGACGCTCCCTTGCAGATGCAGATGCGCTTCGACGGCCTGCTGGGCTTCCCCGGGGGCTTCGTGGACCGGCGCTTCTGGTCGCTGGAGGACGGGCTGAACCGGGTGCTGGGCCTGGGCCTGGGCTGTCTGCGCCTCACCGAGGCCGACTACCTGAGCTCGCACCTGACCGAGGGCCCGCACCGCGTCGTGGCTCACCTGTACGCGCGGCAGCTGACGCTGGAGCAGCTGCACGCCGTGGAGATCAGCGCGGTGCACTCGCGCGACCACGGTCTGGAGGTGGGGCCGCCGCCCGGGCCCCGCCCCCCGCCCCGGGGTTTGGCTCTGGCCCCGCGGAAGGCACCGATGGGTAACACGTCTCCCTGAGGGTCCCCCTGGCCGGGCTGGGTGGGCTGTCGCTGTCTCCACCATCGGGCCGGGGAGGGGGTGGTCTGGGATCGGGCTCCCTCGGGGCTGTGTTCCATCTGCCTTGCTGCCTGCCATTGCCAATCCTGGGGGTGGGAGTGGGGTTGGTGGGGGGATGGGATGGGGTAGGGCGGGATGGTGCCTGCTCGGGAGGTGGGAAACTGCAGGGCAAATACGGGGACTCGTAGGGCTGGATTCCCGTGGTGGGGGCGGGGGCATGAAGCCCTTAGCTACTCGTGGGTTTTAAAGTGTCTGGATGGGGCTGGGAATGACATTTGCGGTCCCCGAGATTCACCAGGCGGAAGGCGGAGCATGGGGTGCGGGCTTCCCGTCAGCAGATCAGGGGCCAGGATTTGGTGCAGAGAGGGATGTGCATGGGGGTGGCCTTCAAACTTGCTTGGGGAGGAGAGGCAGTGTCGTTCCTAGGGTGCCACTGACTTCCCTGTCACCAGACCCTGCCTGAGTCTCCCATTATGTCCTAGGTAACCTGGCTGCCCTTCCCCTGGCCTAGCGGCTCACAGGGCCCCCCTGCCAGGGCTGTGCCATCTGTGTGGGGGCCCGGCCCCACCCTGGTCTGCTCTCCGCGCAGGTGCTGGGGCTCGTGCGGGTCCCACTGTACACCCAGAAGGACCGAGTCGGCGGCTTTCCCAACTTCCTGAGCAATGCCTTCACCAGCACAGCCAAGCACCAGCTCCTCTTCGCCCTCAGGGTGCTCAACATGATGCCGGAGGAGAAGCTGGCTGAGGCCTTGGCGGCAGCCACAGAGAAACAAAAGAAGGCGCTGGAGAAGCTGCTCTCCCCTTCCTGAGGTTGCTTCTGTGCCATGTGGCCGTTGCCCTTCCCCCCACTTTATGCCCACAGGCTGAGAGTGGGCCCTGAATTCCTGTTTGTGCCCCATTCCAACTGCATGGGGCAGGTGGGCAGGTGGACATCTTACCTCCACTACCCTGAGCAGTTACCAGCTGGTGCCCTGGGCCTGGCTGTCCGAGATCCCACCCTCCCTCCCCCGTGTCTCCTGGGCTGTGGAGGCCCCACAGTTGTCTGACTTTTAGGCAGGTGGGTGTTTGTGCACTTTGGTTGGTTCTTGTGCAGGACACCTTTTTCTAGGGTGACGCATTCCCCAGGGCCTGGAGCAGGGCAGGCTCAGGGTAGGATGCTGTACTATTAATTGTGGTGGTGGTTAGCTTTACTTAGTCAGATTTTCTGTTCCATGGTGTGTGAGCTGTGGGTGAGGCTTCAGAGTAGCTCTGCCCAACTGGGGCTTGGGCACTGCCCCCCAAGGGGCGGCCAGGGGCAGCTGTAGACGGGTTTGTGAAGGAGGAAAGAGCAGCTCTGCGCATCCTCTGGTCCTGGCTGCCCCCCACGGCTAAGGACAGGAGGTGCTCCCCTTCTGCCACCACCCAGGACGCGAGGAGTGCAGGCTGGGCCCCTGCTCAGGGTAGAGTTGTCGCAGGCCTCTCGTCCCGGGCGGGGCTACCCTCCACCTCCATCTACTGCGGCGCCACCAGCCTCGGGCCTGACCCACCCGTCTCCTGATGCTGGAGGCTCCGGCTGTGCGGGGCTGAGCCCGCTACTCTTTGCTTTGCTTTGCGAGCCCCCTCTCTCCATTCCCAGCACGGTCTGCAGGCAGCTCCAGGGGCTGATCTGGAAGCACTGGCCGGCGCGCAGAATGACAGCCGCAGAGCCACCGCAGGACAGGAAAGTTGCCACTGTCGGCCTCCCTGCTCTGGAAAGACTCCTCAGTGAAGCGACCAGTTCCCCCGGCGCCTGCCTGGCCCGGGCGTCGATTCTGCCTTCGAGCCTCTATGCAGTGGCCAGCATGTGCGGGCAGAGGCACTTGGTTCTGTGAATAAAACGCCTGTACCGTGCTCCTCCCTTCTATTCTGGGCCGCGGAGGTGTGCTTTGTTCTCCAGGTAACGTCTGTAGAATTATGGGGGCTGGGGGCTTGGCTTGGCATGGCTCTCCCCTTCCTTTGGTCTGTCAGTACTGCATGTTTGACCAGAACTGAGACCCTCACCAGCTGATCTTAAGTTTTATTTTCCAGCAAATGACAATATGCTGCCCGGGCGCCCCAGTCCTCACCCAGCAGGGCAAACCTCAGTGTGGCAACTGGCTCTCTCCCCGAGGCCCTGCCAGGTTCTGGGTGAGAGGCCCTCGTCCTGCCTCCGTGCGGGCCTCGCTGCCCTCACACTGGCCAAGTCCTGTCCTGTCCGTGGCTGCTCCTGGGGCCAATCCTCTGGCCCCGCTGGGACCTGGCCTGCTGCTGCCGTCTCTCTCCACCCTCCTGTCCTCTGGGCACACAGCTTCAGGGTGGATCTATCACCCGACGTCAGAGTCTGATGAGAGAGAGAGGGCTGAGGTGGGCACTGGCTCAGCTGCTCAGCAGGCTCCTGGGCTGGCAGGTACTCACCGTCCCTCCCGGCTAAGGCTCCCGCCAGTTCTCTTTCCCGTGGAGCGCCTGCAGCTTCTCCAAGCTCTGAGTCACTGAGCATAGCACTCGCCCTAAGGATAGGAGCAGCTGGTTTGGCTTTGGAAGTCAGCAGCTGCAGGAGGAAGGCGGGTCTTGGGGGCATTAGGATTGGATGACCCTGAGGGTCAGTGGGCTGGGGTAGGGCCTGCCCCACAGTGGCCAGGGGCTCTCTCCACTCACCCACATCTGGTGCCCAGGTGAGGGCCACTGGCTGCCCTCCTGGAGACCTACCCATCTCATGGACTCGATCCTCCAATGCTTGTGAAAGCTCAGGGAGGCTCAGGGTCTGCAAAGAGGCCTGCCAGCCTTTGGGGGCTGTGGAGCAGAGAGCTAGGTGGGCCTGCGGCCTGTGTCCTCACAGGCTGTGCCTTTGTCCTGAGCCACTGTGCCCCCACCCCCACGCCACTTGTTGCCCAAAGCCACAGGGCCCAGTCCCACGAGTGAGCGTGAGGGCCTGTGGCCTAGTGTGACGCTGTGCCCTTGGGTTGCCCCCACTGGAGGCTGCAGAAGTCACTAGGTTCTAGACAGCGTGGCTGCGTGTGGCCCAAGGGCCTTTCCTCCCACCCCAGGAGGGGCTGTGAGGACATGGGTAGAAGTGGGGTGTCCTCAACCTGGAGTCTGGGGTGGTAGGTGTGAACAGACCTGGGGCTGTCAGTGGTACCCACGGGAGAAAATGGAGAAAAAATAAAACCCGGCCTGGGAAGCATGCCACCCCCACCTCCCAGTCCAGGCCAGGGTGCTGGCCGTACCAGCTGCTGGGGAGGCCGGGCCCAGAGTGGCCCCATGGGGGAACTCGTCTTGCTTCACTCGGGCCGACAGCTCAGCTTGACAGGCTCTACAGGAAATAAAACCAAGTGCTGAAGAGGAGAGAGGCCTAGCAGCAGTGTCCAGGGCACAGCAGACGCCCCCCACCTCCCCGAGAGTGTGGGGTGGCTCTGCCCTGTGCTGCAGGCTGGCCTTGGTGGCTGGGCAAGCTCCTGGGCCCTCGCCCTGGCAGGGGAGGGCCTCTGCAGGGTGTGCAGATTCTCTCGGCCCCCTTCCTGCCTGTGTCAGCCCTGTAGGAAGGAAGAGCCACAACGAAATGGGGGGGTGGCAGAGAGTGACCGCAGGACGCTCTGAAAGCAGCCCCTTGGCTGAAAAATCTGCAGGAAATGGTGACTCAGGGCCCTGCCTCAGCCAGGGGGCAGCTCAGGTGCCCACTCACTGCAGCTGGTCCAAGGCGAGAGCAGCATCCCGGGCGAGGGCCCAGGTCTCCTGCAGCTGGGCGTGGATGTCCTTGCGGGCACCGTCCTGCTCTAGGAGGCAGCTCTCCACCACAGCCCGCAGCTCCTGCTCCTGTGACACCTGGCCCCGCATGGCCTCCACCTCCTCACAGCGCTGCGGCAGGAGCGGGGGGCCAGAGGTGAGGGGGGCTGCAGCTGACACGAGGCCATGGCTGCGGGGGCCGGGGCCCCCCGCCCTAGGATGCATCTGTGCCATCCTCACTGGCTCCTTCTCTCTCTACTGGGGGAGCAGGAAGGGGAGGCCTGTCTCCACCTTGGAGCCTCTCCTGCTTTGGGTCCCTTCCTGCAAGCCGTATGCTGTCCACACTGGCCTCTTCTTTCCCAAGTCCATCTGACCCCTGCCTAATGTCCCCATCTCTGAGCCTCCTTCCTGTGGGCCCATCTGTGCGCCTCCCCTTCTGCTGATGAGCTGGAAATCCTGCCTTTACCGTCCTGCTCTTCCCTGCTGACTGGGTGTCTGTCCCCAGCTCGCACTCCCCACGGCCGTCCTCTGCAGGTGTGTCCCCGACACCTCTCACCACTTCCGCGCGTCCCCTCCCTGGCTCTTCCCACCTACTTTGTGCAGCTGAATGGCAAGCTCCTGCATCTCAGCCTCAAGCCGGTCGGCATAGGCCAGCTCCAGGGCGTCACTGGGGGGGCGCGCGCTGCTGTGCCAGCGGGCGATGGCAGAGGTCATCTTCCTCTTGGGCCCAAACAACCTGCAGGAGAGAAGGAGAGGGTCTCAGGTCAGCGTCCGTGATGTGCCTGGAGGCTCCGCGGGCTGTTCCTCCATCAATATCTTTCCCCAGCAAAGATCCCAGCTTTGAAAAGGGAGAGCAATACCCACCAAGTCCTGGGACAGAGGGCGGAAACAAAAGGCGGCATGAAGTGATCCCGCCTGGAGCTGGCCTCCCCTGCCTGTTGCCATCCCCTGCCACCCGCTGCTTGCACTGAACAGGGAGCTCTGGCTGGCTGGTCCCAGGCAGCGGACGCCCGCCTGCCAGCTCAGGAGGCTGTCCGGAGAATGGGCAGAAAACATCTCGGTGCCCCGAATGTGAGTGTCAGCCGGGCTAGCTCGGGGGCCTCAGGAGCCAAAGGACCCAGGCCACCTGCATCTAAGCCTGGATGGCAGCAGCTGTGGAGACAGACAGCTGACTGCAGGAAAAGCCGACTTCCAGGCGGCACTGCTCTTCCCACCCAGACGTTGGGAAGTTGGGATCTCAGCTGGCCCCAGACGTTGGGCTGACATGGTGGACACATGGCCCCTCCGCACTCACGTGATGCCGATCTCCTTCAGGTCGCTCTCAGTGAGGGTCAGAAAGATGCGGAGGTCCACGTCCTGCTCCTCGAACACCTGCAGGTACTTGAGACACCCGATCTGTTCCAGCAGCGTGGCGAGGTCCTGGAGGGCAAAGGAACCAGGGCAGGTCGAGGCCGGGCGAGCACAGACACGGGGCGAGAAGGCGCGCACTGCAAAGCAGAGCCACTGTCCTCCTGCCGCGGGCGGTCCCGAGGTCTCATCCCCAGGAGAGCCCGGCTGCCCGGCTCCGCGCCCTCAGGCGGAACAAGGAGCCCAGAGGCGCTTCCACCCTACTGGGTCTTTTGAGTCGGTGTCGGTATCGGCCTGAAGGACGCCTTTAGTATTTCTTGTAGGGCAGGTCTGCTGGCAACAAGTTCCCGTCTTTACTGACTTGTCCTCATTTCTCCCCTTTTGAAGGGCAGCTTTTGCAGGATAGGGGCTATTTTGTGGTGTTTTTTCCCAGTCATTACTTCAAGTACATCATCAGATGTCTTCTGGTGAGAAATTAGTTGTGCATCTTGCCGAGGCTCCCAGGTAGGTGAAGTCACCTCTCTTGCTCCCTTCAAGATTGTTTTTTGACAGTTTGATGACGATGTGTAGGTGTGGATCTGAGTTTAACTCACTGAGCTCAGCTGCTTAATGTGCAAATTCGTGTTTTCAATCAAATCGGGGAAGGTTTGACTATTGTTAACACACTTCTTCTCTTCCTTCTCCTTCTGGAATGCTGGGTGTAAATTGGATGCTTAATGGTGTCTCAGGTTTCTGTCCATTTTTTCATTCTTTCTGTTTCTCAGATTGGATGATCTCAGAAATCTACGGCCCAGCTGCCACTTGTCGCTCCTGGCGCTGAAACCTGCTGCTGAGCCCTCTAGGGAAACGTTCGTTTCAGTTGTGTGCTTTTCATCTCCAGACTTTCTCTGTTCATTTTTATCTCTGTCACTTTACTGATACCCTGAAGTCTTCATCTGATAAGCCCAGTTCTGGACTTCCTCTGGGCAGCTTCAGGCAGCTGCCATTTGTTACTGTCTGGGCCATACTTTCTTGTTTTTTCGCACATCTTCTTGTTGAAAATGATGTTTCACTGTGGCCTCTTTGAGAGCCAGTCCTCTCTCTCCATGGTTTATTTTTTGCTACAGACGTTGTTTATGATTCTGCAAAGCCTGTGTTTGGTGTGTGGCCGCTGAAGATCCTACTCTGTTACCTTCTTGGTCAGCTCAGAGTTGGACAGGTGTCCGTAAACATTTGGGAGCAATAAATCTCTGGGTCTTTGCTGAGCAGCTGTGTGCTTGTTGGGGCACATCTTCAGCACCCAGCCAGGCAGATGACATTCTGCCCTGGTCTGCCTCCTGCCTGCTCAGAGCCTCAAGGTCATCTGATGGGTTCCCAGGGCCTTCCTAGCAGGTGTGTGACCTCCTAGACTCCCAGGAACATGTCAGAGCTTCTCAAAGCTCCCTGGGCTTCTCGTTCCCCAGCTGTTGCTTTTAAGTTATGTGTCTGTCCTGTTGGCCCCAGCTAGTTTCCAGCATCTCAAGAGGCTGCCAAGCTAAACTTCATGCCTTGAGTTAAGGTTTCAACACATGCCCTCCAAGGATAGGGCTTTTGGTACTGGGCTGACGAGCTCTGGGGCAAGCCACATACAGCCTTGGCGGGTGGCCTCCCAGGCAAGCCCTGGCAGCCCAGCACCGCCAGTTCTTTGAGGATGGAACCGAAGGAGCCCCAGCTCCACTCTGCTGCCACCAGTGGCTGTCCCAGCACCCCCAGCACCAGAGAGCAAGGGACGGGCGAGGGCTGATTCAAACCCTATAAAACTTGCAGTTCTGTCTAAGATTCAGCCTTTTCTCTTGAATGAATGTCCTCCAGGTTGCTGTGAGTCTGGAGTCACAGAGTTCTGAAAAAATGGATTCTGACCAGTTTTGCCAATGTTTTTCTTGCCTTTAACGGAGCAAATTTTCAAAGGTTGTTATTCGGCCATTTTTCTCAACCTGCTTTCTGAACTAGTCTTAAGATCCCACCTCTCCAATCAACATGGGTTTAAGAAATCAAAAGGTACAGTTGCTCACTGAGCCCAGGAACACAGGCCCTGGGGACAGCTGCCTGCAAGGGGCCAGCAGAACGACAGCCGCCAGCAGAGAGCAGAGTGGGGCTCTAACCAACAGGAGCAAGACCTACCTCTCTGCCTCTCGCCCGTGCCCCGGGGCAGGAGAACTCCATGGACATACACTAGATGGCTGAACTGCCTGTCACACCTGCGATTCCTAAGATTGCCTGAGGCGGGGCCGCCGCCACTGTATAAGGCAGAAATAGCGGCTTTCCGGTAAATGCACATCAAGCACCTTTGCTGCCGCCTCCCGCGGAGCCCTGCAAGCAGCTGGGTGAGGTCGCTCCTGTTTTTCTCCTCCCCAGGCTGAGACCGAGACAAGTGTGGAGATGAGTATGTGAACCTAGAAGAGAGATCGTCCCTCCCATGGAAAGGGACAGAACACAAGCCCTGCAACTGGCACGTCACCTGATAGGACTCCTCAGCCCAGGCAGCGTTATAGGTCACTGGGGAGAAATTACCCCCATCGCCCCCCTAGCAGCCTGGCCCATCCTAAGTGCATATCACAAAAAGCGCCCTTTCTCTAACAGTAGGGCTGCCAGTCTCACAAATGGTCCTACCTGGGGTCCTGAGTAGGGGGAGCTCCTGATCTGGGGGATGGATCCTGGGGAACGGGCTGCCCCAGAAGTCCCGGTGCTGGGAGGCCACTGGCTGTCACTGTTGCTGTAACGATTCTTGGTCTTCACATAACTTTTAGTTTGCTTGCGAACTGAGCTTTTATGAGCATGATCCGAATCCTGTGGCAAGAGGTGCATGTTTAATGTAACACTGAAGCTGACTGGCTGGTAGCTAACATGGCTGTGTCCACACTTTTACTTCCTGCCCCAGTTCTACGTTATAAACCTCGATCTGTGCTGGTAAAAGTTAAACCCCTTTGTGAAACTCCACACCTGCCCCAAGGGCTTCCTGGGTGGATTCCACGGCAGTCCTGTGGCCCAAGCCAGGGGTACTCAGGAGGGTGGCCGGACCTCGTATGTCTGAGCACAGCCAGACCCGTTGAATACTGGTTACCAAGTGTGCTCCTACCAGAGGAACTGTCAGCCATTGCCCACCAGCCACAAGTGGGGAGGGAGAAGGGACAGCAAGAAACAGGAGCAGCTGTACCTCGTTGCTCTCCAAAGAGGCCTCGCTGCTGACCCCCGGGACTCTCGTCGGGCCCTCGCTGCTGCTGCTCCGCACGGCCTCGAGGTCGGCACAGAAGCCGTGCTCTTCTGAGAAGATGGAGACAGGACCCACCCTGACTACAGGTCCCGGGAGCTGATGCGGTCCACCCCGAGCCCTGTGCCTGAGTGTCTTTCCCCGGCATTCATCAGCTCCTCACACGGTTCACCGCTCACCCATTTCATGCTGACTGCCTGGCCCAAGCCCCCTCTACACAAGGGCAGGGTTCTTGTGTTTTGTTGACAGATGAATCTAAGCATCTAGAACAGTGGTTGGCACACAGAGTGCTCTGAACAGCCGATGAATGAATGATGCGTGTAACAACACATTTCCCTGTGGGCTCACCTAGCAGGGAGCTAACCTGATTGCAGGACCCCCGGAGCGCGCACCAGGTGCTGGACTGGATGCTTCTGCTCACAAGAGCCAAGGCCGTCTAGGCCTTTCACCCTCTCGTTCTCCCATGAATGGACTCAGCGCTAAGCCCCTGCTGGACGGGTGGGGTGGGCGCCCAGGGTCCCTGCGCCTCACGAGGCCCCTCGCCCCCCGGGCGGCACATACCCCGGCTGCTGCAGCTGCTGCTCTCCACATCCCGGTCATTGATGGGGGAGGTGACGTCCCTGTAGCAGAGGCCTTCCCCTTCCAGGGGGTTCTCATCACTGCTGTTGAAGGTGACGTAGCCCCGGGGAGGCGCCTGCTCTGTGGACAGAGTGGGACACATGAACCCACACAAACACAAGAGGGGGACAAGTTCTTCTTCAAATGCAACCACCTCAGAGGAACCTGGACATGAGGAAGACCCGGGATTCAGGCCAGCAGGAGGGAAACCCGTATCTTCTGCCCGTCAATTCCTCTCCTTGCCAGTAACCTGGACTTGCCACAGTGAACTGGACAGGACGTGCAGTTTGTAGGGGAGGAAAGTGGCTCCAGTGGGGACAGAGACCAATCTGTGTCCATGGCAAGTGCCCGGTGGGTCCAGGGCAGGCACTCTGCAGGCCCGGAGCCTCTGCATCACCTGCTGCCGCTTCCCCAAATGCAGAGAGGAGGGGACAGTAAGCTGCGCTTACAGACTCCGGAGCCACAGACCAGCTATGCAGCTAGGTGCTCCTTTTGGCCGGAAATACCGACTCTCGCCCTGCACCAGCCTCGTGCTTCCTATGCGTTTTCCACCCGGGCACCTGGGGACTTGTCCTCAGGCCAACCAACCCAGCCAAGAAGCAATCCGGCTGAACAGGAAGGCTGGAGGCCCCAGCTCTTCCCCAGCAGTCACACCCAATCACAGAACCTTTGCCCATACCGCCCGTGGGAGCCAGGGCGGGGCCAGCACACAGCAGAAGAGACCAGGTCTGCCCCGCCCGCCTCCATGAAAGCACGCTTATTCAATTTGCATGAAACTGGCTGGTGGGTTCATGGTGACTTACTGGATTCCTGATGCTTTTCTATAGTTATTTTTTTTTTTACAATCAGTACATGCTATTAATCAAAAATATTTTCTGATTTTTGGCAGAGAATATATGCACTTGTAGAAAATTTAAGTTTTACAAGGTGTACAGGAAAAACAAAACTCTTCTGAAATGGCGCAATCAGGAGACAGCTGCTACCATTACCTTGGCCTTCACTGTGGGCGGCTGGGCCTCAGCCAGATAGTTCTGGTAACGTGAGAGAATTCCACGTGAAGAAAGCAGCTGTATGTTGCACAGTGGGTCATGCACACAGCCCCCAGACGGGGTGCGACCCACCCTTCCTGTCCTACGCTCTCCTCAGAAGGGACCGACTGCCATTCAGAGGGCGACTAACTCAGCCACTGTCCCAGGGCTACTTGCTCACAAGCACACAGACAGGATGCGTGCCCCCCCTACAGAGGGAGCTTGCCAGCAGCTGGGGGGTCTTCCCCACAGCCCAGTCAGCCCTCCCCTCCAAGGACAGCAGGTGGTGGGCCTGGAGTCCTCAACCCAGGCCTCCCTCCTGGAGTCCTAGAAGGGAATCGAGTTACTCATGCCCTCTGACAGGGGCACAGTCTCCTCTGCCTGGGAAAGCAGGTTTCTCCCCACCACAGACTGTACAGGACGCATGTTCAGGAGTAGGACCCATCCACTCGGCCCACCAGGCCGGACTGTGGCTGATGGCCCCTAAAGGTGACAGACATCAAAGGATGTAACGCACACCTGAGTCTGACGGCTCAGGCAGGCCCAAACACAAGCGAGCATCCAACCCTCCCGCTCCCCTGGGGGGCACTGTGCTCGACCCTTGGGAGCAGACAGCTGGAGAGCTCAGATCTGGAATGCCGGGGCCAGAGGCCCAGCCCACCAAGTGTACCATCTGACGACCCTCAGATCTATCACTTGGTGGAAAGACAGCAAGGGAGGAACCACCCCTCGGCCTGCCCTGGAGGCACCCCCAGCTCCCCGATGATGGGAGTAGAAACAGGAAGTGGGGATCAGATGGCACACTCCTGTCCCAGCAGACCGCCGTGTGAAGTGTGACCTCGGGGCCTGGCTGCATTGCCACTGCAGGGACGAGTGGAAAGGACAATGGATGACAAACCCCAAGAGCTGGCCGGTGACTACCGCATCCCTGCCCCTGCAGTCAGCTTGCAGTCCCACCCCTGAGCTGTCACTGCCGCCCCGGGGCCTGCATCTCAGGGGCCCGAGGATGGTTTGTTCGCATTAAGACAGCTCAGAATGCGCTCGGGACATTTCGAATCTTGGCAGCAGGAAAGAGCCAAGAGCCGGGGGATGCGGGACGCTCACCGCAGCGAGGCTGCGGTCTCCTGCCTCTGAGTCCGAGAGCTGTGATCCTGGCCAAGGCTCGCGGCCCCTCATGGATGCTGAGGCCCTTCTTCCGGCAGGGCCTCTGTCTCTGGGGACCAGGGCAGGATTCATCTGAAGAGCTCAGCTCTTCGTATTTTTCTGTGGGCCAAACACCAACATTAAGAGTTAGTTGAGCAATGGACAACAATTAGTGAATTAACTAACTCTCACAGAAAACTGGAAAAGAATCATCTTAATTGGTTTTCTTTAGTTAAGAAAAGTGCATTTCCCAGGATGCTGCTTGTAAGGAGAAATCAACCTCTGGTGGAGCAGAGCGTGACCACTGGGGGTGACACACACACACACACACACACACACACACACGGGGCCTGGGGAGCACACACACACGCACACACACACATGGGGCCTGAGGAGCGCACACACACACATACACACGGGGCCTGGGGAGCGC